GCGAGCTTTTGACAAAATCATTTATGCAAAACACATTACAGACACTTGCTAAGAAATGTATTACATGCCGCAACTGCCTCTGGCATGTTATAACCACCGTGTCATTAATAATATCACTGGTATTAGCGATAATATATGAGCACCATCTATACACAGTCCGTTGCAAAATTTTCATCACCGCAAAAACTAAACCAACAAAAGGCTTTTCCATAATGTTCCATGAAGCAAAACTGTGATTGATTTACCGCCCGAGGCCCTCAACTACAATCAACGGCAAAGCCACTGAAAATTGGATAATTATTAATATATCTATATATATATAAAGTGCACCTCAGTCGTTTCACTCTTTCACATTCCATGGAACGGAAAGCGCTTTTTGCTTTTTCCCCTTGCGTGGCGACTCTCTATACGTAATATCTTCATTAGCTTATTAGCGTTTTAGAGTGTAAAAAAGCATAAAATTAATTCATATTAAAATTGAGTTGAGTTTTTTTCGTTGTTCTCAAGATGGCGCAAGTGACTCGTTGCCGCGTCCCTGTCCATAAGATGGCGCTCGGTTCGTCAAATGGTAGTTTAGGGGTTCTATTTGCGGTGTAATTATTTAACATACCATTGGACAGAAAGCATATGTATGGTACGTATAATTGTAATTTATTTTAGTCTACAAATAGGAATAGCGTGATCAGATAGGAGTTACGAGGTCTCGCATGCACAGATGCCATCTGCAGATAAGGGTAATTAGCCGTGCTGGGTTCTAACTGTGTGTAGTGCGCCACATAAAGCAGGTTCCGATTCCAGGCGGACAAAGCGTTAAATCACGGTATACACTGTCTAACGATGACCCAGCCCGTTGATCTAATAATATTTCCTATATTCCACCACGGAAAACAACGTGTAGCGCTCAAATTTTAGGACCAGCCGTAACGTCGACAGATTTACGTTTGATGATGCATTAAGCGCTCCGACTCATCTATGACTAATTAGATGGGAAATTAGCTAGAAGGGACTTTGTTAGACGTTGCAATGAATTATCTGAACGTCAAAAAGCGACTCAAACTCGTTTCAGAACGTCCTCGTTGAAGATTGTATTGTCGGAAAGTGATACTCGAAGGTTCTGTGCTTTTATTTCGTTATGAACTACCGTATTTATGGAACTCGAGCGATGCTATATATACTGGAACGAGAATTATGTAAGACAAAGATAAAACTAAAAATATGTCACTTTACTAGTCATGAGAAAGAAGTTATCTACAGTGCATGCGATAAATCGATAAATAAAATAACAACAACAAAGTGCACATGTAAATATGTAACGACATACCATAACCTTGATAACGTACCTAAAAAACTGATTTCGCCAAAACAACAGTTAAAATCTCGACAAACTATTTCAAAATATCAAACATAATCGCATAAAGGTAATTATCCATTTATGAAGATTCTATAAATCAGACGTTAAAAGGACTCGGAAACTTGTTTGTGGGCTAATTGCTGGTTAGTCTTATAGAAAATAATTCGGTATATATTTTTTTAATTAAGCAACTGAATGGAATGGGAGTGTAAGATGTAATAAATTTCTCACCCTCATGTGGTCGACGTAACGCCTTTCGATCTTCTACTTTTCATCACTGAGAAGTGATATTCTAGAGAACGTATATGACATGCTACAAATGTAACAGGTGTTACCGGTAGGTGAAGGTAATAAGGTCACGACAGTAATTTGGCTAATTTGCCATACCTCTAAAAATTCTGTTATTAGATGACAGATGTATATGGAGTTTCTCGACGTACCAGCTTACTCGCCCACTTTACAAAATTACTTCTAATTATTATTCCCAAAATAATTGCCAGCAAAAATCTTAAATTGCAAGACCACATCGAATTAAAACAATCCTTCTTCCATAGAAAAAGCTAATTTTAATTCCAAATATTTTCGAGAACTGCTAAAATGAAATATAGCCAGTTTTTAGATTTTAAAAATTTAATTTTGAAACCGAAGATATGTACCAGAATTACTAGACAGCTTTGTCAAAACTTCAAATTTTGAATATTCCCTTCCAGGCATTTTCGAAAATTATATAAATAGATTTTTTTGTCGATTTTGACCTTGATAAGTTATTTTTGGCTTCATGAAATATGTCGTTTTTTTGGATTTTGTAAAAGTTTGATTCTCAAACTGAATATTTCGAAATTCTTAGTCCAGGACCGTCATCAAGCTGTTTCTGACCTTTTTTCGAGCACCTTCGAGAATTATCGAAATACATTTTTTTGTAGATTTCGATCTCCACAAGGTCTTTTTGACATCATTTTCTCAACATTCCTATCATTTTTTCAGAATCGCTAGGTAATTTGACCTTCAAATCAACTGGTTCAACCGGAACTAACAACACGCTTTATTTTTCGAATAAGCATGTTGAGATTTATATCCCAGAATTTTTTGGTGAATTTTAGGTAACTTTTCCAAAAGTTCAGTTTCCTAGGATGAAATTTTTGACCACTTTGCAACTACCTCCGAAAATTACCTAAAGGGATTTTTTGTAGAGTTCGACCTTCAGGAGTTCTTTTGGGCTTCGTTTCTTCGAAAATTCCTACCATTTTTCCAGAATTGCCAGTATGGCAATTTTTAGAATTAAAAAAAAATATGACCCTCAAATGGACTATTTCGACCGGGACCATCAACACGCTATATTTTTTGAATCAGCACATGGAGATCTACATCTCACGTTTTAAGGCAACTTTTTCAAACACTCGATTTTTCAATTTCAACCACCCTCGAAAATTAACTAAAGGGTTTTTTGTAGATTCCCACTTCCAGAAGCTACTTTCAGCCTCATTTCTTCGAAAACTCCTTCAATTCGTCCAGAATCGCCGATAAGAAATATGACAATTTTTAGGATTTTTAAAAAATGTCACCTTCAAATCAGTATTTGGACCGAGCAGACCATTATTGCGCTATATGTCTTGAATCAGCACGTCGAGAACTCAAAATTTTTTGGGGAATTTTAAGCAACTTTTTCGAAAGCTCAATTTTTCAGTACCCGAGTACCTACTTTGAAAAATTATCAAAAAAAGTTCTTTTTTCTACTTCAAGCTGCAGAAGTATTTTTGACTTCATTCCAACATTTTTCCAGAGTCGTTAATACAAAAGATTTCAGTCCAGGCCCATCAACAATCCATAATTTTCGATTCAACTTATATTATTCAATTTCGGCTAAAGCTCAATTTTTCACTACGTCCCATATGCATTTTTTGAAAAAATTCATTTATTTCGAATTTTCTCACTCCACCGGACTTCGAAGTGCCGCTAACGTGGGCCTCGCGAGGTACTCGTCGGAGTGCTATTTGACGACGCTGTTGCTGGACAAGACGGGTCCCGAAGCAGCTTCTTGCGTAAGCCCTCCGTGACATCACACTTTAACGGTTTTTGGCTTGAAGGATGAAGATAATTGTCGTGTGTCAAGACGTCTAGATTTTCGTCGTGTCGTTTTTTTTATGTAAATCGTCCGCGCTCACAAATAGACAACTGCAATGTTGTTTTTATAACAAGGTTCCGAGCCACACGCGATCAATTTGAGAGTCGATCAGCTGCTCAGGGGGCAGACGATGAAAATTTATTGTTTTCGTAGCGCGGCATGAATTAAAAATTGTTAATAACATCATCACTTTAGCTTTTCCCGTGGCTGGCTTCAGCGATGGCTGGGAGTTGCATGTTGGTGCATTCCTTAATTTAATGTTACCGAATCGTTAAGGCTTGATTGTTGTGGGTCATTATTATGTATTTAATGTTTTGCCAACCAGGTCGTTTAATTTGTGTAGTGTAGAGTGGCCCGCATAGTTGAGAGCGATTGTGATACAGTGGGCGTGGAAGTTCTTAGTGCCGCTTGCCGACCAGGTAAAACCTATGATTGCTGCTTACCTGACAGCTGGTGATCTATTCTCCAACATTAATGGTCCCATGTTCATTTAGTGCACGGTATGAGACGCACGTTATACTTAATAATATCACGATTTTTTACCAACATTTTAACCAATACTTGTAAACACTCGACCGAAAGCGAGGACTTCGAAACGCTTTACGTAGCTGTACAGAAAAGTGCGACAACTCCACGGCCTCGATTCCACAACGTGCTTTTGTCTTTGCTGCTTAACATTAAGAAAAGCGTTGCCGTCATCGCACCTCTAAGCTAATTTTAATTGTTTGAAAGATCATCAACTGAACGTATGCGCCATAAATTAGATAAATATATAGTAGTTTCATTAAAGTCTTGTTCCGAAACATCTTCGTAGTTGTAAACTTGGAAGCCATTATCGCAGTTATAATTTTTATTACAGTTGCTCGACCGCCAAGCATCTCACGACAAGAATTCGCGATGACGAAGACAACAATAGATACTTTAAATAATGTGTATTTCAATTTTTCTAAAACATTATCGATTTATCGAAGCACTACACATTGTGTTCGACGACCAATAATTCCCAAAATATGTAATTATGTAATTACATTACATCTAATTTGCTCATCGGTTTTGTACTCCGATGAAACTTCCATTACGAAAACACCATAGATAATTTTCCATCACATTACTAATATATTTTGATAACATATTGTCACGTAACTTGTTTTTATTTGATCACATTAATAACAGCTCCGTAACGATGTTGCCACAAAATCGAATTAGATTAAATTAAATTAAAACAATATTTCTTAAAAATACATTGTTATTTATGTATCTAGAAAAGTACTCAGTCAGCAGTGCTCAGAGCACACTTAAATTGTTTACATTGTACACAAATGTGTGATTAAAAGCAATTATAAACTCGTTTTATTATCGACTACTAATTATTGCTAGTTTTCGCGTAAGAACAGTTCACAATCACAGTATACCGCAATAAACGGTGCTTTTATTGTTTGTGCTGCCACCTCTTGTCCACTATATCTACTTCATACGCTCAACATCACCACGTTCTTATTATCCAGAGTTCTAACTTGACGACCACATCAGCTGATAATGACAGTGTATGAAAATAAACAAATAGTAAAAACGCAGTTTCATTGTTGATGTTCGCGTAAGTGTAGAATGAAGTGAATTTTTACGTAAACGGAACATTAATATCGTATACATAGTTTGTAGCTGCAAAGTTGGCCATCTTACATGAATTACCAAAGTACAAATCGTGAATTGGCACACAAAGAAAGTTGACATATTGTTACTTTGTAGGTATTTTTTTTCGTCTTTATTAATTATGTGATGGTATAAATAGATTACGTTTTAGACAATGAGTAAAGAGGGTAGCCCTGAATTGACAAAATCATGGGTTTTCGTTGACTCAAATGAAGACAACCAACTCAAGGACACTAGCGGAGTACAAGAATTTACCGAAAACGAACCTCATGGAGACTCAGATACAGACAGTATTAGCGTTATTAGTGAAAGTGGTTGTTCCTACAAAACTGACGAAGAAGAATTGACTCAGCAAGAAGTACCTGAAGACAGAGATGACATAATTGAGGAAACACTTGAAAAAGCGTCCGAAGCAGAACCTATCAAGGAACCAGAACCCGAAATCGTCAAAGAACCTGAAGTAGTGGAACCGGTAGATTCTTCGTCCGATCTAGCATCAGAAGAAAAGAAGAGAATCGAAAAGTTATTATACTTCGCAACCAGCGCCGTTTGCGCTATTATGTTGGTAGGCTTCTCCATAGCCGTCCAGCACTACTTCCAGGCTGCTTCTGATTTAAATGCATTTGATCCTGAGCAACAGTTTGTGTTTTCCCATGTACAGAACGTCAAAAACGAAGCTCCAAGCAAATTCAGTCCAAAACGTAAAAGTCTAAAATTGCAAGAACTGGAAAATAAAATCGCCAAACTGCAAGAAGACAACGAATTTCATGACAAAATTACAACTCCCGTCAGAGACAATGACCTTAGTGTAGAGGAAACTCTCAAATCTAATTATAAACTTAATAAAAATAAAAACGCAGCTTCTAAGTGTAACAAAGGGAATTGCGATGTTAACGAAAAGCACGCAAAAATTCGTGACCGTGCGATGCCCAAAGTTGCCGAAAACGATAAAAATGACGAAAAAACACAAAATCAACCGCACGACGGAGATACGAATACCGACGAAACTTACCACAAGAAAGTTAAGGAACTCAAAGTTAAAGAAGACTATTTGAAACAAAAGGAGAAGTTTTTGATTGAAAAAGAACACGATTTGTTGAAAAAAGAGATTAAGCTCAATAAGGAAAAAGAAAAGCAACAATATCCAAAACCCAAGCATGACAAGAAAGTTTCCCACAAGAAAGGAAAAGACTCTTCGTCGGAAGAGGATGTTTCTGGCGAAAGAAAAGACAAATTTAAATCTAAAGAGTACCCGAAAAAACAGCTCAACAAGAGTAATAATAAGAAATACATGTTCAGAGAAGAGAGAAAACACTTTCCTGCACATAAGCGCTTCAAATTTTCTGAAGAACACAACAAAAAGCGAAATATATCTGGGCAGTGGTACATCAACTTGCATGAAGCGAGAGATAACATGAGACAGAAGAGGCGTGCCAGTTTCAAGAAGAACAAGGCACATTGGTACTTCCAGTGGATGGTGGACAGAGCTCGTCTTCGCGTTAAGTAGTTCTATGACACTGTGTACATACTATTTTTCTAAAATTCTCTTAAATTTAGATTTTCACTAATCTATTAATTTTACTTTATTTGACAACGTCGAGTATTATTATTTCCTTTTTTATTTAAACATGTCTTTCTTTTTGTGATATTTTTATTTTATTATTTCATTGTAATTAAAATGATTGGAATTAATATGCATTTCTGTGTTTTTTTATCCTTCTATTAAAAATTTTCGAATTCGAGAAGAGGTCGAGGTTATGGTAACTTCGTAAGTTTTGCAGGGGTAGATGCGTATTTTCGTTCAATTAACGCAAAGGCGCATACGAACAAATCTTTCATATCTATTTTGAAAATTTCGGTATTGAATGTGCTACTTTTGTAAAAAAATTTTTTTCTTTGGGTGAAGTAGGTAGGTATTGAAGGTTTTTGTAAATAATAACTAATGAGTGATTGTGGGAAAATAAAAATCGAATTTATTAAATAAACCCTCTGATTTATTCTTAAAATTAAGGTCATACAATCGCTTTGTTAAGCATACTACTTAATAATAATTGTAATAATAATAATAGTAATAACCACTACTGACGTTTACACGTCCAACAATTGAATCAAAAATATCAATGGCACTGGTTAAATATCACCCGATTCTATAAGTATATGCGTAAGTAACAAATACTTTTTGTTATTTATTTACGGTATAATTGTAACATTGGAGTACATTAATAAATATTCCAAATTATTAGATCTTCACGTGTGTTTAGAAATTATTTAATACAATTAGTGATTAAAAAGCTTGAATTAGTTAAAAAATATCGATACAGACCTGGTTAAGTATATTAATGTTTAAAGCTTTAAAACAATTGTACTACGATTATTACGTATTAAATAAATAAATCGACAAAGTTTACGTCGGTATAAGTATAATTATTATTTTCGTTCCCTTTTAAATTTAGTATAAAAATCTAACAATCTAGAGTCATACACCGAGTTAGTTTTATTGACTTGTATGTTACGATGGATGGATGCACGATTCGATGAACTTTACGTATGTCGTGTAAGTGTACATATATCACATTATTATGTATATTTCTTAACCAAGTAAGCTTTTTCCATGTTTTCGTCGACAATGAAGGTCTAAAAATTTGTACTAGGGAGATTTAGGGAAGTAGGTAAACGAAATGCAGAGTGCCCAGAAGAGCAATACTTGTTAATCAGAGCGGAGGGATAGGTACATCAGTCGGGGTCACTCTGCCATACGCGACTAGAAATGAGAAGATAAAGGAGTCGGGATGAGCGTGACCTGGGGAACGTCCGGGACCTGTCCGTCGCACCCTTCGCTCGGCCGCGGCTGCTTTAAAGGTACTCAATCACAGTAGATTTAATTAACAACTGATCACGACGACGCCAACAGTAGCCCGAAAAATCGGTCGGAGTCGAAAGAGAGGCTTGTGGGGTTTCGAGACTCGGGAGGAGTTTTTGAGAACGAAAGACGATTTTGTTTTGTGTAAGGATTAAGAAGGTGACTGTTGGGCCGTGGTGACGTAATATACAGTAGTATATAAATATATGTTATATACATGTGAACTATAATGCCATTTGGTGCAGCTGGCAACTCACGTATAGTCGTAATATACAGTTGAGCTGGCGTTGCGCTGTGAGCAAGCTCGGTTATAACGTTTCTAACTAAGCTACGGTAACAGTTTAATATTATTGTAATACTAAGGCACAGACCCAGCTCATTGCTTGTTCGCTCGACAAGCACGTTTGTGGAAGACAAGCATCGCTGGATATTCTACCCAACATAGGAACGGAATTGTAACTAACTTGACCAACGTATTCAGGCCGTCGCAGGACTGACCGCGTCACCGTGTGTCTGCTCGTACGCGATCAGTCCAAATCCGCGAACGATCATCACACAGCCTGTCTTGGCACCGGACTATAGTATAAGTATACAAGTAAATAACTATCCTAAGGCGACTACGCTACTTGAGCAGCCTAGTTGCGCACCGAGTCGCGTGAAATCATCAAAATCCAACATAATCATCACACATAAATTGGCAAGAAAGCTGCAAGATCATAAGGCAGTTTGTCGACGATCACGGGGACTTCGGTGCGGCGGGCAGCTGGTCGGACTCCCGAGGCCCAGAGTTCTCTAAGGCATCGCCCGCTTGAAAGAATCGGTCCGTATCGCACATAAGATTCGCACTGTTGCAGCACTGTCCATGCTCTGAACTGGAAGTCGCCGTCGTTCCGTCGTCCATCAGAATGATCGCGTTGGACTCGGGGTTCGTTTGATGCGCTATCATGTTAAAGTCCTCTTGGTCCAATGTGAACAGCGGCGTGCTCCATCTCGGTATGCTGCTAGAACGCGGAGTACCTCTGGACGTACTCACGCTGGGCGAGTACATGCTGAGATTCGTAGGACTGATAACTCCAGACATCCCGCTCATACTGGGGTAGCTGAAGAGCTGAAACAAACACGAACGTCATGCTTTGGTTCTAGGGGCTCTCCTTTTACACTACCAACATGTCCCGGCTGCCCATGAAAGTGGTTGAAGGAGTAGTCCCGGGTCGGCGAGTACGGGCTGCTGGTCGGCACCGAATTTCTTTGTGTTGGAGATTTGCGGCGATCGGGATTGCCCGGACTGAGGGGCGGTGACGAGCTGATCTCCGGTACATCGTCGGCGGGGGAGGCTTCGCTACAAGGCGGCGTTATGCTCGCCGGAGGCGAGTTGGTCCCTCCGCTGAGGGTAACGTCGCCCGTCGATCGGATTATCGCCACGGGTCTCGCCATCGGGGGTAGTGGCGGCGGCGGTAGCATCGTCGACGGGAAGTATTGTGTCTTCGGACTTCTTGACATGTTCGTTTGCATCTATATAAAAATACAATAAACGTGTATTAACCACGACGACGTGCGTCACGACGCTTCTCACTTGTGCGTTTTGATTGTTGCTGTCGGTCTCTTGACACACGAATGTCACGAAGTCTGACAGCGTGTCGTGGCCGTTTTCGGGATACTTGACTTGGTTTTGATGCTGATGCTGATGTTGCTCCGGACTGTGTTGATAAAATATTGTACTTGGATTCGGTTGAGAACTGGAAGACACTAAAGTGGTATTTTGAGGTATGGCTGAAAGTAGATACGTTAAAGGCAGCTAATATCAGGAGATCGACGGTATTTCGAAGAACTTACAGTAGGCTGCGGATACTACCATCGCGTCGACGGACGTTGTTCGATCGGCAACAACGGGGCCCTGCTCGGAGTAGTTGTTGCAATAATAGGCCGGGTGTTCTAATTTGACACTGTTCATCGTCGGTTGAGGATCCGACAGTTCGTGCAATATAGAAGCTAAAAATATACAAAATTAGTGAGAAATTTGACGGTACATTGAAGAAAATTTACATTTGGACAACTTCCATAATTCCTTTGATGAAAATACTCCTGTGGCTAATATAATGTCATTACATATTACACCGTTGTAAGGATTGTGGGTGTAACCTGTAACTGGAAATAATTTCATTTTAACTTTATGACTCATTGAGGATATTTGCAAAATCTTACGAAATTGTTACCAATTACCTTACACTTTATAACTTCAAGCTAATTTAGGACACTCACCTTTATTTTTCCGGTCGTCTTCTTTTTTGTTGTTGTTATTGTTATAACAAACCCCACTTAATATTTCTGAAAGAGATAATGAGACCTTAATCGAAAGAAAGTACCTATTTAGAGATTTATTTCGAAAACAATTTGTCGTTCTTTTTATATCTCGCCATACCTTTTTTAAGAAGATGTATAATTAGAAAGTATCTACACGTGGAATTTACGAGGAACATTTTGTCTCATAAAAGACGTGATCTATTTTTAATAATAATTTTATGAGGACCCACATGTTTTGAGATGCATCGCTAAAATTGGTCGAAATGACTTCCTGTATTTACGATCGATTCGTTAAAACTAGGTACTTATTATATTACGGCGGCGTTATTTTCTCCCAAATTAAAAACCCTGTCGTCGACGTTATAAATAAAACGTATTTTATTTATAAAAGTAAACAAATTTTGCAAATTACAGAAATGTTTATAAAATTGGATGAGATATAGCGTACAAAGTGTTCTACGCTACTGATTTAAATGTCTGGGCGAGTTTCCAAAAATCGCGAATCGAGCCGTCCGATTATTCAAACGCGTATTAACGTAATAGGCTTTAGCGTCGACCTTTCTTTGCGGAAAATAATTTAAGCCGCGGCTTTAATTAAAAAAGCAACGCCGAAAAGGTGTTGTAATACTCTCTTAACATTTTCCTTGACACAAGTTACGCTATCGAAGTTCGAGAGATAAAAAAACAAGCACATTTTGGCACGTATCCAATATTGGCATCCTCATGGCTGTTCACCAGATCATAAGATGCTGCGGGAAAGGCTGAGTAATTCAGGGACAAAGCGTCGATATGGGCATAAATCGATTCGCGATTTATCGAGAAAATCGCGAAGCGTGAAGATATGGACAAACGGCCGATAAATTTTCAAATTTACAAGTCGCGCCCGGAGTCCTACGTACAGTCTTTTACAGAACGGAAAGATCGAAAAAGATTGTGTACAGTCGAATTGATCAACGTGGTTCGAAGGGGCGGAGCTTAAGTTCGATCTGATTCCGAGCGAGTGGTGGCGTTGCTTGAATGAATAGTAAACAAGACTACAACGAGTGGCAATAAAAGCGGAGTGTTTATTTACCGTGGCTGTTGATGAAGTTGGCTAGATAAAGATCCAGTTCTCGCACTGACACATTAATATGATATGGATTTACACAAAGTCCAGGTTGAGAACAGTCCGGATTTTTCTCGAGCCTTTCGCCATCCGTACTTTCTAGAGGTATTGCTTTAAAAAGTATCACCATAACGAGATCCAAGCGCCATACTTTATCCGCTTGTCGTAGACAGTCTATTCGGCGCATTTTGCCTTTTTGATCGGGATTGGAAAGCACGCAGACGGCAGGACGCTTTCCGGTTATGCTCAACACGAAATCCTCGCGACATTCCTGCGTGATGTCCTTCCGGAGCTTTCCCAACAGACGGGACGCCCATTTTTGCTTAACCTCTGCCTTTTCGTTCTGAAACAATCAACAATGTTAAATACCGGCTTGAATTATTTCAGCTCCACCCAAAAACCCGGGACTCGAAACTATATAGAGAAAATATTTCTATGTATACGAAACGAAACGGAATGAATAGGCGCGATAGCGCAGCCTAGTTTCTATCGAAAAGATTAAATATTCCTCGAACACGCCTTTTCCTATTTCGAATGTTTTCGGAATGATAAACAAGGGAATTTAAATGAGTTGCCCGATTCTTAGAATATCAAATATCTACTTGTCGAAAATTCCGTAAACGTGTACTGTTCGGTGCGCGTGAAATGTTTTCGAAACTTTACCAGGCAACAAAAGATAGATTAAAATAGTTAATAAACAAAACCGAGCGGATTTTCAGACCGTCTATTTTCCAAAAATACGTACTGACTTGCAAAAACTAATTTCGAAAATAATTTCTAAAGGAAAATCAATGTCAATCTGCAAATGTTTCGTTTATTTTAATGTCAAAGCAGCAGAGTCCACTTATATAATACCAGTTGAAGTAAAAATAAATCAGCTCTTGAATAGCAACTGTAAAACAGTTAAAATACGACAAGTGTCACCGAAGCAACTGAATATTTTTTCGAAAAGAAAATTAGTACGTTTAATTTAGTATTATATTATTTAATGACATTTGGCAACCGCTACGTAAACGTGTTTTGTTTTTACGTGGCGATCGTCAACGTTGCAGACAACGCGCGATTTTTCTTACGAAACGAAAAATAACCGATCGTCGTTTTTCTTTCCCTTTTTCTTACATTTTCTGTTAGATTGTTTTAAATAAATACCTGCAAAGCTTCTTTGCACTGTCTCTCTTCCTCCAAAGACATCCGTTTTTCGTGTTTTTTGTAGTATTTTCTCTTTGCGGCTTGTAGATTAAACCACGTGTACGAGAAGGACTTGACAAAAGGCAGGAGTGCCTCGATGAATGGGTGGAACTCGTCCTGGTAATACGGACACATTTGAATTTATTAAATGGCGCAGAACCTCTTATTTTATACAGTGTTATTAAGCAAAAACTTGACAAACTTTAGTAACGGACTCGATACACGAAAACAATGACATTTCTTCAAATACTAAACACAGCGTCCCTCCGTTTAGAAAAATTCTTATATTTTATTTCATTTTATTTTTATTTTTTGTTTTGTTTTTTTTTTGTCTCGGACTTATCGATTTTACGTACTGCCTCGAAGCATTCAGAGCAAATCAATTTAATTTATTGGCTGCAGTGAGTCTGCAGTGGATGTTTTCGAAACAGAGAGACGAAAATTCTGTCTACAGAGTCTAATCGATATGGTTTGCATGATATTACAGAGTATTGCAGTTATGATAGAGAGAATAAGGATGCAGCAGAGGTGGTCAAAATGTGGTGTTTGGTGTGAACGTCGGGGCCATCGCCATCGGCGGCAATAACGGCACGTACGGTCACGTACAAACTTTGCATGCATAAAACAACAACTGCATTGCACAAACAACAAACGAATGAGAATGTGTCGCGAAATGCGGCGACATAGTGCATTTAAATATGTTGGTGAGTCCGACGCTTCCAACGTTCCTACGCTGAATCGGAAAAACCAAATAACACTCAACGGGCAATGCAAGCTCCTGAGACGCCGCCGCCGCCCCCAAACTCGAACGCCGCCGCCACGCTCGGGCCTTTCGTCCCTACGAGACCTACGAGTGCGCACGATGCGGCGCAACCCTTAATCTAAAATTCTGTTCCGATGAGCCTCGTAAAGTGCTAAATTTTATTATTTCGTTTAGCACTCTACAAGCTCATTGTATTCAAATTGCAAGCTTTTGGCACTCTGCCCCAGGATGCACGATGCAGGTACATACCGCACGCCGCTTAACGGCGGCTAAATGCACCCGTACTGCGGCGTCCGACGAGCTTAAAGGACGATTTTGCAAAAAAAAAGAAATGAGAACATCCAATAGAACGTCGGGGAGCAAAACAGAGCCGAGACGATAAAAAAAAATCGGATCGTCACAGGTGCGAAAAAGTCGATTTGTTCGGGAGGGTGGTCGTATTTGGCGATGATGCGGTTGCAAATGTCCGAGCTTAATCGGCTCGGATTATCAATCGGTATGGTAAGGCTGCCGCCGCCGTCGTATGTACTTAAGTCCGAAAAGTTGGTTTGTTTGTTTTGTTTTGGAGGGTGGTCGTGGCCGTATTCGAGGGTGGCGGTTGTGGGGCCGGCGGCGGTCACATAGTGCAACAGAGCATCGTCAGCCGAGCAGATGGTCCTCGAGTTGTCTACACGGGATAGACGCGTTCGTCGTGGTCTTTGAATTCCGCCTATTTATACGAGTGTATTTTTAGCCGCTAGCGAGGAGTAGCGGTGAATTTTGGATTAACAAAACGAAAAGAGCAATGGAGGATATGACGAGCGTCCGAGCAACAGAGCAGCAAACAATCATCATCGCACAAGACAACAGGTACATAATAATAATAATAATAAGTACGACGGTGCAGAGATGTACAGACAGACAGAACAGAACAGAACAGAACAGAACAGAACAAAAAACAGAACAGAAAGAAAAGAAAATATATAACAGTCAGTAACAACCAAACATGTCAACATCGAGGACCTCAGCCTGGTCGGGTTGGGGTTAGGCTCCCTGTCCCGACCGAGCCGGAGTTTACAGAACAGAATATATAACACTCATGTTAATCATGTTAATTACATATCACGCATGACGGCGCGGGGGGAGTAAGGAGGGTAGCAGCGGGTAGGCACCTGTCCCGAGGACGGCGTCTGGAGATACGAGGACACATCGGGCTCCACCATGCAGCTGCGCAACGTGTCGGGGATGAACATTCCTCAGGTCACGTCACCGTCACCGGCTGGCGGCGCGCTGCGTGCCGACTCCCATCACCAACGAACGAAGGCGTCGGGCTAGCGCAACTGCTCCAAGGTCGGGACCAAGACCAAGACCAGGACCAAGAGCACCAGCACGGGGAGGCCAGGAGCGGGATTACGCACTCTCGTGCCCGGACGGGAGAAAATCGCGCGATCTGCCACCGGCAGCTTCCTCATTGATTGCTTAATGCGCACTGCGGACGCGGACGCGGACACCATCCACCGTCGTCCCGCAGACTGCTGTAGATGTCGATAATTTGGCGTTCCGACGATTCCGACGACACTCACTCATCACCACGAGAGTCTCGCACATGCCATCAGCATCCAGCCGCGACCCGCTAACGTCTACGTTTACACGATCATGCCCCAAACCCAAGACCTAGGCTCTGGTTCCACTGCAAATGTCCGTTCGCTTGCAGGACCCCGCTCTCGCCTCTCGCGCTACTCTATTAATAAAAGACGCGGGACGTCGGCAGCGCCGTATGTATTTATATATTGCTACGACGCCGATGACGTTTCGTTGCGTCCGGGCGCTGCCGTTGCCGTATCATCTTGTTTTTCCTCTGCCGTCATGTGCTTTGCCGCCGGACCACTACCACACTTAGTGGCAAACGCGATCGACTGGTGCTGCCATCGACGGAACGCGGCGACGCAAACTACCAGCGTCGCCGTCGTAACGATCGCTTCATCCATGCCATGATGCAAATGCGAAATGCACCACCGCAGATTTACGGCTCTTGCTCTTGGCAAGCTCTCCGATCCCTCTCTCCCTTATATACTACTATAACTATATATTTCTCTATGCCGAGACTACGATCCCTGCATCCATCCAGCCATCCCATACTACTATGCGGTATACTATTATCATCTCGCATATATTCGGCTTGACCGTCTCGATGATCAAACTTTAAAAACGTTTCCTCGACTAAATTGCGCCTATTCGGCCCTAAATATAAATAACGTCGTACTGATGCACACGTCCCCTAAATCGCACGAATGGCGCATTTCGAATGACAACGATCGTCGACATTAGGTGCAGACGCACGACGCACAATAATCAATTCCGATTCCGACTACGTTCTTCTTCTTTTCGACTTTCTCAACCCTAACCTTCCGAGATCCACTGACCCAGAAACCCACTTTTATCTTTCATCCCTCTTACACACAATGCGTACGTTTAGCGTACTCCACGCGCTCGAATAAACACGACTTCTACAACAAAGAAAGACGATGTTTGACCAAAACTTTTGCGTTACTTACGCTCTGTCCTCACGGACCGCACTCGTAAAACTTTCATATGTACAGTTCAAAATTACAATAAACTACGATTTTTTTTGTGTCCGTCTTAATTTGTATCATTTTTAGTCGACAAGTTATCGAACCAATTTCGGCGCTCATACGTCGTCAATTCTTGAATGAACGCTGAAATGCTTGTCGTTTAATTACCTAGTTATTATCGGATGGTTTCTTGTCGGATCCTTATTTTGATTTGTGGATATACCTAGAGTCGAACCGTAGCTTTCGGGCGTGGAAATCCCTGTTACACCGAGATTCAGTCTTGAATTTGATTCAGGAGTTCAGGTTGAAATTAGAACCTCATATTTATTATTAGGCTGCTGTCAGCCCCCTATTATTGGCGATTTTCGTCAAAAACGATTAACCTACTATGTCGAAACTTCTCAGACAGAAGCTTGACTTTTTTACTAACCGAATGGAAAACTTCGACAGGCACTGCTAATGGTTCCTAGGAAACTTCAACAGTCAAACTTTTAAACTTCGGTCGATGTGTGTGGGGAGGGTGTTTGACATCACACCTCAGTTCATTCGATTCGAACTTCGAGCATAATACAATTTACAATTACAAAAATATAATAATAATTAATCCAAAAGCCTAGTCCCATGCAAATTTTGACTCCCGGTAGCGTTGCTTGACTCGCATGATCGCCACGCCGGGAGACTTTTACCTCGTACCGTACCGCACCTCCTAATATATATATATAATGGTAATAATAAATAGCACTTGTTTGTATTTATCTAATTTAAAATTGTAGTGTATAAACTTCTAAAACCCACAATTTTAATGGCTTACAAATATTCAAACGGACACGATGAACAAATCAATCACATTAAAAATGATCTAAGACTCCAAGTTAAATAAGATTTATTGTGTGAATGCCTATTTTTTCTCTGTTAAAAACAAAACATACAGAGACATATTTTTGAGATTCCCAAAATTTGTAATACTGCAATGTTTTTCATGTATATCTAGAGCTAGCATAAAAACACACCCTGCTTGGATAGTCGAAAATGTTAGTAAGCTGATTTGAGCGCCATCTGTGGGAAGTCCATTGAACGTTACAGAAATACCAGGGGTATGTACAGCACCAGAGCAACTACTTGACGGACAAAAGCCCCTCCCAAATGGTTTTTTATTTAAATTTTGTTGCAGTTTTGATTTAAAACAATAACATACTCCTACATGATAAAAGTTTTGTTACATTAACTGATTCATAATATCTAAGAGTTTGAAAACATTAGGACATGTCATATTGTTTCAAGTTGGAACCCTCTTGCCTGTTAGTATTCGCAATTTATGTTGGAATAAACAATTATTACATGTGTGATGCCTCGTTCAACTGACAAATTAACTAAAAGATATGAAATTATCATTGAAACATTGTGTAACAAAAAAGAAATGGTTAATTAAAAAAATTGAGGTTCTAGGGGCATTTTCACGACTGTGTGAAAACGATATTTCAAAAATTAAATCAACAAACTGTTGCACTAGATACAAAAAATGAATTTCTATGAGAACAAAGATTGGATTTGTTGTGTCATCGATTAAGGATGTTAACCTTAGGTTAACAAATAAATAATGGCTAAATGTAGCAGCTCTGGTACATATTTTAAAAACAGAAAAACCACGATTAGCGTAAAAAAATAAGAAAAGAAATTTTAACCAATCAGTTGCAGCTGAACCTGTTACACACTTTCCGCAATTATTAAAATTTAAACAAATACAACAAAATTACAGCAAAAAAAAAAATAAGTGCAACTAATACGTGTATTAAGTTACCTGTGCCAGTGTCGTAGCTACATGACGTCACAAACATTATGCACACGTTTGCCACTCGATGTCGTTACAAGTACACGGTACGTTACTTATGAATTCGGGATGAATTAAAATATTAGCATTTTACAAAGTTAAACAAAATTTATTGCATATTTTACAAAAGCAAAAGCTAAGTAGGAAATCGAACGTGTAACTGAAAAAACCTACTTATAGTCTAATAGTTATCAAATAATAAGTGCCCATTATTATAAATTTACAAGGACAAATTTATTAACTAATATAACAACTATTAAATAACGACTTATTACAAACTAAGACTAAACCCATTTAGCAAACGAATTCCACAGACTGAACACACATAAGTTAAATTTCAATATCATACGGGTATACACTAAATATTAAATAACAAAAAGAGGGAAAGTGAAAAATATATTACATGTTTTGAAGAGAAACTGACACTAATGAGGGGCAAATTAATCAATTAACACTTTTTATAATAATGGCGCCGGAAATACTATTACACATATTAAAACAGCAAAACTGTCACAGTTAAGTAGTTGTTAGAGAAATGTACTTTTTTATCACAATATATTAGTTGCTGCATTTTCATTGAACGATCTCCCATTAGTCAACTATTTTTGACTTGTGTCAACATTGAGGTAATAAATTATTGAATTTACTGATTTTGATTTAATTTATTTCATTAACAAAATCCATTAAACATAGGTAAAACAAACTAATATTTAAAACTAATGCGTAATATTGCCTAAACTCCACAACTTAGCAAAAGACGATGTACTTTAAGCATGTACACATTCGTTATATACTATTCAGTACAAAAGAAAAGTAACTTCAAAATATTGTTAAAGAAAACAAAATGATAACTTATTATCACACAGTAATAAAACAATAATATTATAGGATATGTATGTTATAACGTAAGTTCTAGTTGTTCCATACGAACTAAAACTGAACTAAAAACTGTTTAGCATACTAAAGAAATGGTAACATTTATTCCCAAATTCCCATTATCAGCAAAGTGCTGCGCAATAGAGTTATCAAAAGCTAAGCAATCAGATGCCATTATGGCAGACGCCACTCCCTCATGGCTGGATCTTGGCATTGCTTCCCAGATAAGACGTCTTCTATTCCCATTCAACTCCAATCTAAACCAACAAATATCACCAAAAATCCACACGGAAACCAAACTAACCTGTAAGCGAAGTGTTCTGCTTGTTTGCGCGATCCGATCAACTGAACGATGGCGAAAAATTGGGTATGTCCGTCGTTCTTTTCTTGTTTTTCTAATACGAGCATGAAATGGTGCCCAAAGCAACTTTGCATCATGACCCAGTCGACGGCACCTGCTAAGTTGATCTCGGTGGCCAAAAAAACGATGTCTTCTCCATTTAAAGTAGTGATGTTCTTATGCGAGTGTTGGAGGTGAACCATCACCTTATCTAACTGACCCTGTTACAAGAAATACGTATTCATACGAAAAAATGCGGTATCACTATACGAAGAATCATTTTACAGATATCGGAATTATTCGCTGAATCAGCGGAAAAGTTTTCAACTTACCTGCCAAGAGCACGATGCGCCGGGGCAAGGACAACTGTAAGGGCGAAATTCGCAGATCTCTTCGTGCTCGGCTTTCTCGTTCAATCCTAAGGACATCCTACAACCCGTGGACTTGTGTTTGCAGGGAAACATGAGGTTATTGGCCACTTTTTCCATCGCCAAATTTCTAATGTTACCTAAACAGAAAAAATTACATTAAACTTTACTACAATGTCATTTGAAAATCCAATTGACCTCATCAAGTAACGCTAAAGCAATAACCCCTTCTGATTGGTTTCCGCGAAAACTTAATACTCAAAATACTGAAAAGTGAAAAAAAAATTACCGAGTGTTCCACGGCAAGTTGGGCAGCAAGACAATTTCGGGCGACAACTAGCACAGACCAAGTGGCCAACTTGACATTGCATTATCGGAGGAAGGACGATTTCAAAACAAACAGGGCACTCAAAAAGAGCAGCCAACTCATCAGTCAGGGTTCCCGGGGTTGTACCGCTAGGGAGGGTTGGTAACTGGCATGCAGAACTGGATGAAGCCGAGTTCTCTCCGCTGCTGATACCACGTCTTTTGTGACCAATTACTTGAGCCATATTTCTAGGAGGGCTGAGAGTATAATCTGTAACAAACAACATAAAAACTGAGTTTAAATATGCAGGGCTATACCAATCGGCGAGATCAACGGAAAAGGCATCACAGGCATCAAAGTATACACTGTGCTGATAAATCTTCGAGGTTTTTGAAAATCAGACATCTTTAACAAGAGACTGTTTCAACGCGAACAAAACCAATACTAGTGTGGTATGGTATGGTATGGCATGAGTATGGTAGACTAAGTGAACTTACGCCCCTCTTAATGTCTTACTGAGTCATATCACTAAATAACTATAGCTGATGGTAATGCTGACATATCCGAGCGTTGTTGTTTCCACAGAGTGATTGCTGTTAACCGAAACTGATACGTATTTGCAACAAAATACTGCCGCAAAAGTCACTTTTCTAAATAAGAATCACAAATACTCACTTTTATAAAACGTCATAAAAGTGATCAAAAAACGTTGTTCACTCACTCTAGTTTAAAGTTTTTATCGCCTTTTTTGGACTAAATGTAATACACTAAAGCTGACTTACTCCTGGGGCTTTCGACGTTGTCATCGGTATTAAAAAATGCGAATCTAACTTTGCGGGTCTCGTTGACGCGGTACCTAAATCGAGGCATAACTTTTCAAAATTTGAACAATTGTTTATTTAAACAAATTCAATTTTTCAATTTGGAGGTTAGTTAAATCCACTCATGCGCACGGCCGATACCACCATCGCAACGCCCTCGTGCGGTAACTGTCTCAGCTAATAATACACTGTTTCTACGAAAAAACTGTGTATAAACTGATTCAAACTATGTTATTTGCACGTTTTCGACTACAACTTCCCGAAACGTATTTCAGCGTCGTTATATTTTCGTTTGCACCGCCATCTTGTTAATGCTTTAAAGCCTATTACAAATCAAAGGGGCTCCCGCCAAATTTGAACGTTAGAAAAATTCAATTATTTCAATGGTTTTTTTTTTAATATTTCACATACCAGGAGAACGATACTGGATGATTGCTGCACAAAATAACTGCGTTGTAAGTCTGAAGTTCGGTTGTCTGCTTTGGAATGGCATTTGTAGTATTTGGAAACTTGATATTTTTATTGTTTTACGACAACGCACGTCGAGGTTGTGTAGAACAATTTTAATAAATGTCGATAATATAGGGCAAATATATGACTACGAACATCGTAAAAAAAAGGATTAATACCGGTAGGTTAATTTGGAAACATTTTCGGATTCAACATTATCGATACCCTTTGAACGGAGGTAAGAATAATTTTGCTGGCGCATTATCGCATCATGAATTACTACCTTCTTAATATCGTTTACAGAGACAGAGAGCCACATTATATTGCTTTCAGAATGTTTGCTTTTAATGAAACTTTTATTGTAAGTTTCTTCAGTATGACATGCGCAAAACCGACGCCAATACAATTATGAATCTTCCATCTATAACGTAATTAAATTCTCCAGGTAATAAATAATGTATTGAAAATGTAAAATGACCAAAAAAACCCTTATTTCGAAGCCCATTTATCGTTTGTAAACCTTCGTTTTTAGTAAAATATCGAAGCAGACTTACTTGATGCAGCTTCATCTAAGTCCTTGATTTTCAATTCATCGAGTAATAATTGACAGTTTTCGTCAATGGAAAGAATCACTCGAAACATGTTTTAAAGCTGTTAAGCCCTTTGGATTTTAAAAATGAAATTTTTAATTATGAGCTTAAAAAAAATTTGACATGCGCAAAATGGACGACACTACAACTAGAGCGCCCTCTGTTGACATTATGACTTTTCTAATTAGTGATTTTACAAAATTATTTATATTTGTTTAATAAATGTTAATTCTTTATTTAGGGTTTTTGGGTTCTGTGTCAGTATATTAGACAATAAATAATTAAAAAAATATAATTTTGTTTGGTTTTTAGAAATTGGCGACATCTATTGGCCAACTGTATACTCACCGTCCATTTGACAAAATATTAAATTTATTATTTTTATTGTTAACCATAACAAATGTTAAAGTGTTTTCTTGTTGAAGAGCGTTTTGATCATGTTATATGCCAAGTGATAACTGACAATCAATGTTGACTCACAAATGATTTTAACTGGTTAGAAGCGTTGCAATGCAGAAAACTTACCCTGAGAAATTATCAAGCTACTGTGTTTAATCCATCCCCCACAATTTGTCTCTAAAACATGCAGAAAGACCCAGTTATAAGTTTACATTGAAACAAAAACACATGGATGTTTTAGAGCAAGAAAAAAAATTAGTCACCTCAAGGTGCGTGTGAAATTTTTAGCAAAAAAAAACGCCAACTGTCTTAAACCATGTTGTTGGTGTTATGTGCTATATACACAAAAACGTGCTATAGAATTATTCAAGTACATATTGTGAGCAAAACCCACATTATGTACTTGTCAACATGTAAAAAAAATCATCAATACTCTCACAACTGCTTTATTTTTCGTAATTCGCATACGACAATGGAAATACATGCGGGTAAACAAGTATAATTTTGTTACTAAGCGAGCCAAAGACCTTTTCCATAAACCATCCACACGTAAGGGTTAAAATGACATCAGGACTTGACATAGGGACCAGTGGTTAATTAGGGATTGTATGGTATACATGGAGGTTCTAAATAACCAAAACCAGCACACAGTTACATACTACAGCTACAATATTATTATTACACGACACACATTAATCATTATTACTTACTTTGTTTATATAATGTTCCTAGGGATTAGCAATGATTAACCAAAATTATATCTTGAAACCGTCAGTACGAAATTTTATTTTTCGTCTGCGGATATTCGGTCGGTCCACCATAATTTGATAAAGTTTTTCTACACAAATACGCTTCCTAACTTTGTATTTCACCAAAATATTTCCAATCTTCTTGCAAAGATTGACGCCATAATACACATTATGACAGTTCACAGCAGTTCTGGAATCATAGAAATTTGGAAAATTGTGTTAAGGTCATTTTTCGTTGCATACCAGCACCGGTCGCACTAGTTGTGACGTCACGCCAGATGTGAATCTTGAATCCTTGCGAATTTCTACTAAACGATGAAGTCATCACGAAAACCTCCTCTTGTGAGTTCGAAATTATTTGTACGTGTGTCATGACACATTGTGATACATGTGGAATGCGAACGTCACGTATGTGGAGATAAACTCAGAACCTTATTTTTGTATTCAATAAAATTTCATGACGTGATTGAGGGGTTGGATGGCACAATAATATGGTTAGAGACGATTGTGGAAAGAGAATTGTATTTTAGAAAATTGGAACTCACAGAAAAGTACTGACAAAAAATTATGTATTTACAAAGTAACAAAACAAAATACTTTGACTCATTTTTGGTTGGTAGAAATTTAAAAAATACGTCCCTCTCTATTTGCTACTGGTACAGTGTCATTTAGAGTTTGTTTACATAGTTATTGCCACCTTTAATTTCACAGGGCAATAAAATCTTGGCGGATTATAGAAGTCGCTTAGGGATGTTTTACGTCACAGAATTGCTCCATTTTTAATTATTCTGTGGTGTGAAAGCGGCTCTTATTTTTAAGTTACGTTAAAATAAGAATTTTTTTCATTTTGACTTACTGAACAAAGTGTTATTGTGACACAAGACTAAATGTCTTGGTCCAGGTTAAGTTAAATACTTAACCTGGACCAATCTATAAAAAAATCTATAAAATTTTACTATTGGTTTTCGTGGAGATCTTTTTAGCCAACAATTCTTTCTAAATTTGTCATGAAGTATGCAAGAATGTGCGAAAAATTTTACCAGGTTGCATCGCCAAAATGCTACCAAACTTGCTCGGTCGATAAAAAGTTATGCGGTTATGTCGACAAATGTCAATGTCAACTTATGTTTGTTTTTACAAATGGCGACTGTGGTGTAATGTAAGTAAACAGGTGATCTGGAAATCATGATCAAATTTTTGCAATTCCTGATTAAATTTTAGTGACGATGCATTTATGATCTCGCATAAAACAGGTTTATAATCATGGAGAATCCAAGAAATGTAGGTTCGCAGGTCGGAGAATCGGACATGGAATGTTCAGATAATGATAACGATTGTTTTGACGATGATGATTATTACAATGCGGTCGATGATAATGATATTGAACAAATTGATCCATGTAAACTAGACCCGGAAAACTTCAATTACCAGTGTTTAGGTGAAGAACAAGTGGAGCGGTTACTTAACGAAAGCGTCGAATATTTAAGCTACAATCTCAAAATCACGCCTTCTTTGGCCAAGGTACGTCCCTTCATTGGAATAGATTTTTTTCTCATATTAAAATTTTAAGGTATTGTTGTTGAGCCATCAGTGGCGTGTCAATAAAATTATTGAGAAATATCGAAAAGATGCGTCAGACCTGTTAATTACTTCAAGAATTAAACCTCCAGTGACGCCACCCAGTCTGCCTGTTTCGCGATATATTACGTGTCCCGTTTGCGTAATTCCACAACCGTCTGAAAAATTTTTCAGTTTGTCTTGTGCACATTTGTTTTGCAAGGATTGTTGGGTCACGCATTTTGAAGTACAAATAAATCAGGTACGTGAGTTCATTCAATAGTGTATAAGTTAATTGTTTGCGTTTTAAGGGAATATCAACAGCCATTAGTTGTATGGCTCGCGATTGTGTAGTCCTGGCACCTGAAGATTTTGTCCTGAAGCACTTATCTCGTCCGAATTTACGTGAGAAATATCAGCAGTTCACCTTCCAAGACTATGTCAAGTCTCACCCAGAGTTGCGTTTTTGTCCAGGCCCCAACTGTCCCATTGTTGTACATAGTAGTGAAAATAAAGCTAAGCGGGCTATTTGCTCCAACTGCAAAACTGTGTTCTGCTTCCAGTAAGTGCGCATGCGCTACACTTTCCTCAGTAACTGATAGGGACCGCCGTATTTACTTTTTACGGAATTGTAGCTTGCAGTAGGGGTGGGCAGATTCAGTCATCACTACGAACGGATCGTTCATCGTTCAGTCCCTATGAAGACCCGGTCGTCAAATGTCGTTCACTTCGTTCTTAGTCATTCAAGGCTCAGAGATCTATTGATGAATCATTCGGTCTTTCGGTTCTTCGGTCAACGGTCATAGTTTCCCTTTTGCTTGGATCCGATCACGTTATAGGGAACGCCATGTGGCCAACAGACTCGGAGCTATTGAATATTCGAAAAGTGGATAAAATTTATGTTCTATAAATACATGCTAAACATTGTATTTCTTTCTGTTATCGTTTGAGTTATTTACAAGTAATTTACACAAAACCTTCCTAAAAAGATTCTTCATGTTTTAATGGCTGTTTTTTTTACAAATATTTAACATTTTTTTGTGAAAAATAAAATACTACTGGAATTAATCTGTCAAAGTAGGCTGGAAAACTTATGTTCTTGGTTAACTCTGTAAATATTGAATAGCATGTGATACTAGCGTTTGATACAGAACATAGAACTGTGCTGGAGTCATAGATCCAAGGATCCAACGGAGCGAAGATCTAGTTAAGACCGTGTTAACGAAAGAACGACTAGTTTGCGTAGGGAACGATTTCGGTCACTCGTTCCTTTGAACGACCCGTTCAATTTGATTCGTTCGTTAACGAATGACACATTTCTAGCTTGCAGTGTATGACTTTTTTGTTTTAGATGTGGTATGGACTATCATGCACCCACCGAATGCTCCATTATCAAGAAGTGGTTGACAAAATGTGCCGACGATAGCGAAACTGCAAATTACATAAGTGCACATACCAAAGACTGCCCAGAATGCCACATTTGCATTGAGAAAAATGGTGGGTGCAATCATATGCAGTGTTACAATTGTAAACACGATTTCTGCTGGATGTGCTTGGGCGATTGGAAATCGCACGGTTCGGAGTATTATGAGTGTTCTAGATATAGAGAAAATCCGAATATTGCTCATGAATCAGTTCATGCTCAGGTATTATTTATCAGTGTATTGTATCAAAACATATGAATGTTAGTCGACGATTGATTTAACTTGTTCGCGTTTTAGGCAAGAGAGGCGCTGAAGAAGTACCTTCATTATTATGAAAGGTGGGAGAACCACTCCAAGTCTCTCAAATTAGAAGAGCAGACTCTGGAGAATCTCCGCTCTAGAATCAATCAAAAAGTGATGGCAGGGGTCGGGACTTGGATAGATTGGCAATATTTATTTACTGCAGCGAGTTTACTTGCGAAATGCCGCTACACGTTGCAATATACGTATCCATATGCTTATTATATGGATGTAGGACCTCGAAAGGAGCTTTTTGAATATCAGCAAGCACAGCTGGAAGCTGAAATTGAGAATTTATCGTGGAAAATCGAACGAGCCGAAACTACCGATCGAGGTGACCTTGAAAATCAGATGGATATTGCTGAAAAGCGACGTACAACTCTTTTGAAAGACTTTCTAGATTTTTGATATACTTTTTATTTATTTGATTCATTCGATTTTCGAGGTGTTGCCAATATACGCTTTGGATATTGCGACGGGTTTTTGTAATTTTAATGTTCTGTTTTGTCATGAAATGTTACAATTTCAATGTGTGTTGTACGATTAATGTAAATTTTTGAAATCTAGATTGTATTAATTTAACTTACGATCAAGAGCGTGCGCGTAAATGGTCAACCAACTTTCACTTATTTGAGACGCTTGTTATGACGTGAAATTGTCGTTCATAAATTAAGTATTTTTATATGATGTATAATAGGAATTTCTTTCGAGAAAAAGATGTGTAGTAAGTCACTTTGACTCAAGGTTGTTTGTCATTTTTCCATCTAGTTCTTCTCTTGTATGATAAAAGTTCTTCTATTATATTTCATTTGATCGCAAATAAACACTCTCAATCCGACTGATGTTTTTTTCTTCTGATGACGCCGGTGTTTGTATAGACTGGATGAGCACAAACGGTGCGCATCCAAATTCGTTGACCTATCGTAATTACAGCAATTTGTTATCTTAATGTCGAATAACAATGTTATTCTCCTAACGATCAAATCTCTACAGGGTCAAAGAGCACAGATCACTTAACTCTGATTAGTACTACTGTTTTCAGTTAGCGCAATGAAACTTCTCGTTGCTGTCGTGTTGCTGTGTTTCAAGAACATCTACGCCTACAATTATACTGTTAAGTACATCGATGTTCCCGTGGATCACTTCAGGTAAGTACATTCAAAATTCGATTTAATTCAAATTCGGACGCATTAATGCGTAATCTTTTCTCATAAAATCACTGCTCCCAATCGTACTCATCGATTCAATCACGTGCATGCGCTAACTCCGCCCACTACAGTGCGACAATTAAAATTTAAATAATCAAATTGCAGCTTCACGACTAATGCCACCTTCAAACTGAAATACCTCATCAACGATAGTTTCTGGATTGACGACGGCCCGATATTCTTTTATACAGGAAATGAAGGAATCATCGAAAACTTCGCCGAAAACACCGGTTTCATGTTTGATAAGGCTCCCATGTTCAACGCTTTGTTAGTGTTTGCAGAACATCGTTATTATGGCGAGTCCTTACCTTTCGGAAACTTATCTTTCAGTACTCCAGCTCACTTGGGGTACTTAACGGCAAATCAAGCTCTGGCTGATTACGTTTACTTAATCAATTATCTCCAAACCGAGCATTCGCGCTCGGCTTACTTAAATAAAGTACCTGTAGTGGCTTTTGGGGGTTCCTATGGTGGCATGTTAGCATCATGGCTAAGAATGAAATATCCAGCATCTGTGATAGGGGCTATTGCTTCTTCTGCCCCGATTTGGCAGTTTCAAGGGCTCACCCCTTGTGAAAATTTCAACAGAATTGTGACCGACGTTTATAAAACAGCCTTAGAAGAAGACTGCAGTGACCCTTTACAAAAATCGTGGAAGATCATACGGTGAGTACTGAAGTTACAAAATTCCATAAGTTGCACATGCGCATATTCTAGAAATCTAACGTCCACTGATGCCGGGAAGTCATGGCTGTCGACAGAATGGAAGTTGTGTACACCTCTCAAAACAGCCGCCGACGTCAATACTTTGGTGAACTGGTTTTCCGAAATTCTTATTAACATAGTCATGGTAAATTACCCTTACCCTACTAGTTTCTTGGCGCCGTTGCCTGCTAACCCCGTCAGAAGTTTCTGCAACAAGTTGACAGGAGTAGAGGTCACCGACGACAAAACATTGCTAACGTCAATTGGAGCAGCTTTACAAATCTATACCAACTACACCGAAACAACTACGTGTAATAACATCAACCAAACGGCCGCTGCTTTAGGTGAAGCAGCCTGGGACTTCCAAGCTTGTACTGAAATGATAATGCCGATGTGTTCCGATGATAATGACATGTTTGAAAACTATGCTTGGGATTTTAACGATTATGCGACCAATTGTAATAAAAAGTGGAACGTGAGACAGACCCTTGCGGAACTCCCCGTCCTGGAATTCGGTGGAAAAGACATAGGAGCTGCTAGTAATATAGTTTTCAGTAATGGCCTTTTAGATCCATGGTCAAGCGGTGGTGTTTTGAGCAATGTCTCCTCAACTGTTTCCGCCGTCATAATTCCTGAAGGTGCCCACCATCTTGACTTGCGAGGTGAAAATCCCGCCGATCCGAAGTCCGTGACAGAAGCACGAGAATTCCACGTCAGTAATATCAGAGCCTGGATAAGTGAATTTTACAACTCCCGGGATACCAACTATTTTAAAAAGTCTGTACTATATGAAAAAATTAAGTATACGCACGCGTCTGTATAAAATATATTTCTAAAAAATTTATAAAACGTGGTATAATGGTAACGATGTAAGCGAATAAAATAAATTGTATAAAACATAACAATACTGATTTATACAATACTGCCAACAATACTGTTCATTAAAGCTTTTGTGTTAACGTCAAGACGGGCCAAAGTAGACCCAGAGCGCCTGACAGATACGTCACTTTGGAACCCACACTCCAAAACGCTATACTTGCGAAAATTGGTCCCAAAGCGCGTGCTAGCGCTCCCAGAGATCGAAATATACCCAACACGGTTCCTTTCTGATGATCTTTGCCGTGTTCAGACGCCATTGTCATAATACAGGGTACCACCATGGCTGTAGCTGCAAAACAACTTTCCTAAAGAATTGTTCGTAAATTTTTTGTGGAAATCTATCAAAAAACTATCTAGCATTGAGTGCGCGCAGCGCACTCGTCAAATTGCGAATTGTAGCAAAATTTCGAACCTAACAAATCCAACTTACAAACTGCAAAAAGAAATAGTCCAAAATAAAGCAGAAAGGGGCCTTGGGCAAGTCCCACGCATATAAATGAAGGCACTATAATCCAAAGTCCGTAAATAGCGGTTGATTTTATTTTCTGAGGCGGCAGTCTTCTGACGTATCCTCCTTGCATTAAAGCCATCGTTATTCCTACGTGTAGAAAAAAAGTAGCAATTGTTTTCTGTGGAATGCTATTTACCTATGCTAAAGAACATCCATCCTTGTTGCATTGAATTGTAATTGAAAGTATGATGGGTTAAAAACGTTAACGTAAATTCTAGCCCGCTATAAATAAATAAATATACGAAATAAACTCGTCCTAATCGTCTCAGTTCTTTCAGTTCTGACGACTTCAAATCAGTAACTGCGTTAAACTGAAATAAATCCTTCCAGTTAATAAAAGATGAGGCAGTCTTTACACTCGCTTTCAGACTTTTTGCACGTTTTTCCTAAAACACTTGTTTGTGATTTTTGACAAATAAGTGTACACTTTTTTTATACCTCAGGTAGTGTTTCTTTGAAATAAACAACGAAAAATATTAAGTCAGCCAAAGCAAGTAATAAGGCGAATAATGCAGGTACTACAAACCAGTCTCCTACTTTTTTCTTTGCCCAAACGGCGAAAATTGCTCCTATTAATGGACCAACTATAAATCCCAATGAAAAAGCTATACCAACAAATGCCTACAACAATAACAATAATTTTTTCTCTTGTGACTCTTAAAATTCCTACCATTCCTTTCCCTCGTGTTCTTATGGAAGAAACGTCGGTTATTATCGCCATACTTAATGAAACGTTGCCTTTACTGATCCCTCCAATAAATCGCGCCAGAATAAATAAAACCAAATTATTGGACAACGCCCAGAGTATGTACGATATCGCGATTCCAGTCTGAAATCAAAATTATTAACTCCTAGTCTGTGGAAGTGTGTCACGTGATCGCAAACCAATCGCGACATGAGAATTGTACCACGTGACTGACTATACAAAGTCATACAAAAGCCGCGTTTACACGACACAGTTTTTTTACGACGTATTAATCTGGTCTTTTAAAAACGTTCATACACATCACTTCCTGTTAATTTGATTAATTGATGCTTACCAAACAAACAATCATGACTTTTTTCCGGCCTATTGCATCCGAAACTCCTCCCACAATTGGTGACACCACAAACTGTAGAAAACTGAACATGGAACCCAAAAAGCCACCAAAAAGAACCGTGTTAAATTTTTCAGGGGCTCCTACTAACTCTTGGAAATAGAAAATTCTTCTCGATAACCATGAATATAACCCCGTATTGTCGTTCGTTTTATAATACTCCAATAGAGATGGTAATAAGGGAAGTATCATGGTAAAAGCCAACAAATCCAATAAAAGAGATATGAAAATGATGTAAACCGTTGAATTAAGTTTTTCTGTTTTCTGCGACATTTTCATCTTGTTAACTAAATGAAAGTTGAAACAGAACTTTCTAATCTTGACTCTTGATGTAGATCGTAAATTCACAAATACGTCACCAACATTATTTGTCAAACGGGACTAATAAAATCGATGCAGAGATTTGCGATTAATATCGAAGGATTACAGATAAGTCGTGGATTTACTTCACATTTTGATCGTAAACAGATACAAAACAATAAACATTGAGGTTACTGTTGTCACGTTGATAAATGACAATTGGCAACCTTGTGAAGAACCACAGATCACACAAAACATCACTTTTTATACATAGAAATGTTTTAGTGATTGCTACGGTTAATATAATTTTACCGCGGTTTTACGCTGTGACGTCACGTATACCCTAGCATTGATTAAATGCATACAGAATACAGATCAAGGACGTTGTATTAATACAACATCCTTGATACAGATAGTGCCAGTCTCGCAGTCTATAGTTTGATGCTAATGACTGATCGGCCGGCAAGCGCCAGGGGGCAGGATTAAAATTAATTTATTCTTCAGTATTAGTCACATAATGAATACACTCATGAAATTACACAAACCCTGTGTTGGAATTGATTTTTACGTGCTTAATTTTAGATTAAAAAAGTTATTGAAACCAATTGATAATAAAATTATTTATTTCTGTCTAGAAACGGTAGTTACATAAAAAATATATTGTAATGTACGAATTAAATAGATTTTTATTTAATAAAAATCAGGGATTTGTGACTCTTAAATTTCCGATAAGGCAGATACTACTCGGTGGACCTATTCGGGCAATTCTTGCTCGAGTTGTGCGACTTAAGCCTTTTGCTAAAAACTCTATATTTGAAAAAATTCAGGATAACACAAATTTGAAATCTAAATTGTCTCTACCAGATTCTTAGTTTATCAAATTGTTGTTTGATAAAATTTTGCTGTCTACATATTCCCAAGACATTATTTTGATTTAAAGTGTAATTCATAATTGTATGCCAAATAAGACCATGACAACGAAATATTTAATTACACTTGACGATTTAAATACTGTGAAGAAATCGATAACGACGTATCGCTTAGCTCTGGGAATCATAATAGAATTTGTTCGGCTTAACACCAATTTCACGCAGATGCTATTAAATAAAGTGCTAACCAATTTCACACTTGATCGCCTACAGACGGCTGTGTCCCTCTTTACCTGATAAGAGCAGCACCCAGAGAAAATTCAGTTTAACTCGAAATCGTAATGCAGAAGGCTGAAAGACGTCTTCAGGCCATTTTTCAAAAGTACAATAATTCTAATTTCGCCAAAACTGATTATTCCAAGCTAGATGTAACGAAAAGAATTTTCAAAAAATCTTACATATTCTTAAATAAAACTACCACATTTTTTTTCCTAGGAATCCTCTCTATTTTCTTCGTTACGTCTCAGACTGAGTTATTTAGCACCTCAACGGTAAGTCATTGTCTCTATGTGTCCCATTTTGACTAACAATTTTAGTGCTTGATCACCATGCCATCTGATGCATCAAAATGGTTTCGCGAACCGGAAATCTGCGACATTTGCGAAGGTGTGACCCAAGTTATTAAAATAAAAAACGTTTCGGCTGCTGCTTTCTACAGAGATTATGTTTTACCGGCTACACCGGTTGTTGTTATGGACGGAGCTAAATACTGGACAGCTCAGAAAAATTTTTCGTTCGATTTTTTTAAAAAACTGTATCAAACATCCGACGATTCAGTTTCTTGTCAATTTTTTCCTTATAAAACTGAGTTTTCTTCTTTACTGGAAGCTTTGGAAATGGACCCGAAACGTGCCCGTTTGGAAAGTGGTCAGAAACCCTGGTATATAGGATGGAGCAATTGTAACGACGAAGCGGGAAAAATTCTGAGACAGTATTATGACGTTCCATACTTTTTACCGAACACTTCAGAGAATATAGCACTAAACTGGATCTTCATGGGGGGACCAGGACAAGGTGCCCATATGCATGTGGACAATGTCCAGTTTCCTTCGTGGCAGGCACAACTTCGGGGAAGAAAACTATGGCGATTGGCGCCACCGCCAGAGTGCTATTATAAGTGCCAAGAAATGGAGATTACGGTCGAAGCTGGAGAAATAAGTAAGTACCTATTACATCTACTGCCTGTTCATTGTTATTTTTGAGCAAAATTTAAAAAATTCTTTCATTAAAATTAGTATGAATTTTGTCTCACTGCGTGATTAAATGCGGTACTAATTTTGACAAATCCTGTCAAAATAGATATTACGCTTACATGTGTAAATGTACACAGAATTTTTTTTTTAATTTGTAGTTCTTGTGTGTCTAAAATATTTGATTTCGCTTCTCTTACGATAAACTCAGCTTCTTTACTAATATTTTGATGTGTTCTGAACAGACAGTACATGTAGCTGCAATTTTGCTTATTCCTGACGAATTTATATTTTGAAATTTACAGTTGTGGTGGATACGAACCGCTGGTATCATCAAACTTTTATCCTGCCCGGAGAGATCAGTATCACTATAGGATCAGAATTTGACTAATGTTTGATGTATGTAACAAATGATCTGTTATTATCACCGGAACAAGCATTAACAATTTCTTTTTTGATTTTGAACAATAACTGTCAGTTTATAGAAATGCTGTAATTCGTTATTATTTAATAATCAATAAACACTAGCATGATTAAAAGTTTTATTATATGTTGTTTTTTTCAATTAATTTGTAAAGCATTTTTGTTTATTTAATTATCTAAATTTAAGGAAAACTGAATATTTGCCCCTAAATATTATGGTGACCGAATTTGAATCAACTTTCCGCGCTGAAATTAATTAACAGCGGCGCAAAAAATTCAATTAAAAAATCGTTAAACATAGTCAACCATATATGAACGTTAGCGCTTGGGGTAGTTCTGCATGTTATAGAGAGAGGGCGGTAGTCGGGTTGGTAGAGGAAAACGGCATGTTGAACGCATGGGGTAGTTCATTACATTACATCAACGAGGCATGTCCTCGCAACGCTAAAGATTGATAACATCAACGAGGCATGTCCTCGTCACGCTAAAGATTGATTACATTATTGAGGCATTTCCTCGTAACGTTGAAATTTACATCATCGAGGCGTTTCCTCGCAACGCTAAAATTTACATCACCGAGACGCTTTTTCCTCGCAACGATGACTGGATATTTTTGTGTTTATTTATTATGTGTCTTGTTGGGGTAACTAGTTTACGGTATTCTAAACTCTTGAAGTAAATTGTTTTTTTTTAAGTAACCAATCACTTGGATCATGATCTAATTTAACATAATGTATACTCTTTGTTTGAATCATTGATAAAGTGTGGCAAGTATTAATCTCATGTAAATTTTGTTAACTGTGCAATTTTTCAGCTCATACAATATTTCTCTATCTCACAGTTTTAACCTCAGTAATTTTCCTTTGTTGTATAATTTTCATTGGACGTAAATTTCATGCTCCGCAGTTTTAACCTCCATAATATTTTTATTTGCACAAGTTTATTTCACGCCAGACCTTTTGTTTTTATAAATCTTTGCTAGTTTTGTTTTGTAAATATTTTGCTGATGAATGTTTCCATCGTATAAATTATTTGATGTCCAATTTTAATCTCACATAAGAATTATTTGTTGTTTAAAATTTCACAAGATTGTATGTCTAATTTAATTTATTGCTCGTTTGAAACTTTAACACTTGTTCAGTTGTTGTTAATATCAGAATCATAAGAAATTGAACATTTAAAATGGAATTGAGGTTAAATAACACAGAAAACGTGGCAGAAGCGAAGTGCGGTTCCTAGTCGAGCTGGCGAGATTTGTCGCGTCACTTGCAAAAGGGTACAGGTTTGGATAGATTCAGGGGCGGTCGTGATGTCGTAGCGCTGTCGACTTGGCCCAATAGTCGAAACCCAACTGCGGATGTGCTGTGCGGGTAGGCTTTGCGATAGATAGAATCACCATCGTGGGGGGAGAACAGCCCCGACCGGTAGCCCCAAACTCCACTTGTGCTAGAACGCCCAGGCGTATTTTTGTTGTGCTCCTTTTAACTGCCGTAACTTTAAATTTGACGCCACACGCCCGTAATAACTTGTGTATTTGCATCCAGTTACTTTAATTCAGATTTTGCTTTGTTTCTATTAAATTTGATATTCAAATATTTGCATTGATTCAAAACCACGGTTGTAGAATAGATAGGTTGATACACTAGCATACATTTGCATATCCCTGGTTAGCGACGCCAATTGTCGATCGCGTCGCCTGGTTTTTGACGTTTTAGGGACACAGAACTCTATAGGCATCTGTCTATAACCGATGTAATTAATAAAAGAAATCCTACTTATCGACTCCGATCAAATGTCATTTACAAATTTTGTATTGTTCATAAAGCAATGTAAACGAAAATCCCCAAAATAACTAGAATGATTTCCGCTCGACAAGGTAGAGGCGCTAGCTGTATGTGTCCTTTCCATGGATATAGGGATCGAAAAGAAGCGTCGCCATCCCAAGCCATTAGTGTACAAACCTATCTATTCTACAACCGTGTTCAAAACATAAACGTAGGGTTTTTGTACTTGTTTGGTTTTCATATGTGTATATCTGTCAATTCGCGGTTGTCTCTTCTCTCATATTTTTATGTGTTTTATTTGCGATTTATTATATTTCCTTCTAGAGAGGGGGCGCGATTTTTAAAATTTTTTCTATTATTCCTTGTACTCTCTACTCGCACACAGTGTATACTCACTTGTATGAAAGAACGTCTTCCCGCCATGTTTAAAAAAAAAACACAATGTAGGTTCCCTTTTGCCAGACAATCACAGCCAAGGCCAAATTTTGAATTTTTGAATATTTATATTATATTAAAGGCGGGAAGTTTGGTTTATCACAATATTTTTAATAACTTGGTACTTATTAGTTGTATTAATTTATTTATGGTACATCTGGTGATTCATAACATACCGGTTTTTTAACGAAGCACTACCAGTTGTAACCAAAAACTGACTTCTATTGATTATGTTGCCGGATGACGCTACTTGGAATAAATTTAGTTTAAAATATGGCGGGAAAATGTCAACTGGGTTACTGCATACCGATTATTATTTTGTTTAGAAAAAAATCATTACCGACAAAAAAGGAGAGATTCTCGCATCCTGAAAAAGAAGATAAGGTAATTTTAAGATCCCGGTAATTGTAAAGTAGGTTACTAATTTGGCTTAGAATTTTTTATTTGTGGGTTACTTTCTCTACAAAATGAATACAATAAATTAAATAGAAAACGTTGTTGGTTGATGCTGGAAGACAGCATTAAAATTAAAATATGACAAATGTTAATTTTTACACGAAACATTTACGAAAATCACGTAATGATAAGTCCTCAACGGTTAAATATTTTACTTAATAAATTAAATTAATTTATAAGAATCGATTTTAATGATTTATTTAAAGAAATATTAGTAGTGCACCACAAATAAAGAGCTAATAGTGTTCATGTTTGCGTGTTCCATTAACACGTTGTTGTATCACTTCAATTGTTAACACTCATTGAGATAGATTTTTTTTGTTAATTAATCATAAACGAACCCACGTCTTCCACTTGTTTTTGTTATTAATTCTTATTTATGACCTATATAATGTACCTAATTTAAAACGTTCAACCTCTGGCCTATGGGGATTTTGTTTTTTCACTAAATGTTGTAATTAAGGAAAGACCAACACATTTGTTACTTTTTATCGAATGTTGTCTTAAATTAGTGTAATGTTTTACATTACGGGATAAATATGGGGTGCGTTATAATTTTTTTTTTCGTGTTTAAACGAAAAATCTTTGAATATAAATTGTATGTTGGTAGCTTTGAGCGAACCACAGTCGCCATTTTATGATAGGTTTTGTTGTATTGAAATTTGTGTACCTGTATATTATTAAACAAATATCAATGAAATAATTGGTAATTGTGCACCATTTATAAAAATGAAGTGAAATCCCGCAAGTTGGAACGAAATTGGTACGTAATTACAAAATTCCCCAGAAAGCAATAAAGAAACATAACGGAATTTAACCAATACGATTTGAATTTATTTTTTGTTTACTTTTTTCTGTTCAAAATAACCGACGGTGGCAAAGAGGCACTAGCCTCGAATTGCTTTTGCCCCATTTCCCAATTTCTGGTTTAGTGCGACTCTTTCTAATTTCCGCCCACATAATGAAAAAAGTTACACCTACTTTAATGTGTAGGCTACCATCAAATAAAGTAATATCCAGCCACAATTACAATTAACGGTAAATAAAGTGCGTTATTTTCAAGATTACATATGAAGAGGGAGAGGGTGGCTACTAAAATGGAAGATCTTGCCAACATTCTGGTCAACGCGGCAGAATTCGTCCCAGGTAATCACAATTTTTCCCTAACCCTACTTGCATCCGATTTTTTAGGGCGGTTGTATTTTGTCACCATAAATACTTACGAGACCCCAGAGTCCACATCTTGTGTGCACTACTTTACTATGGACGAAGAACACCGCTATAACAGCTTTTACAACGATTTCGGACCTTTAAATTTGGAGGTTTTGTATGGTTATTGCCGTAAGTTGGACGAATCCCTGGCGGATGCAGCCCTACATAGCAAGAAAATCGTGCACTACACAGGCACCAATGATCAGAACCGAGTGAACGCGGCCTTTTTGATTGGGGCCTACGCCGTAAGTTCCGCTAAAACAGGTCAATTTGAGCGTAATAAGACTGTTTAGGTCATCAACCTTAATTTTAATCCGGAGGAAGCCTATGAAGTTCTCAATAAAGGGTCAAAGAAGGACTACATCGAGTTTCGGGATGCCTCAATAGGGCAACCTTATACACTGTCACTCTTGGACTGTCTCAAAGCTGTGAAGAAAGCATTGGATCATGGATTCTTTGATTTCAATAATTTCGATTCGTACGAATATCGACATTACGAGGTAATTATTGACTAAGGGAGCGATTTTCTGCACTAGATGGCGTCACAAGTCACACGATTATTAATACTACAATAAACAACAAAAAAACATGTTAGCTGTTTACACTTGAAGTGACGTCATCAGTCTCTGGGGTGGATAAATTAATTCATTTTAGTCCCTGCTATGCCATGACGTCTTATATAAATTAAAAAAAAATCATCATATTTAGTTGTATATTATATATATATTTTTTTTTCGAATAACTGGTAAAGCTAAAAATAGGGATGGAAACGCGTCATATGAAATTCGAGATGACGTCATCGATTTTTTGAAGGGGTACCGAACCAAATAACTCTTAAAACTTAGTTACTCAGGGTCGTTATTAATAAAACAATGCCCTGTAGAAAACTCGACTGAGAAGATGTGGTTACAAATCCTAACGATTGGACGCTCTTAATTTTTTTCGGTATGTATTTAAAGAAATTGCGTTTTTAGCGCGTGGAGAACGGCGACTCCAACTGGATAGTGCCGGAAAAGTTCATCGCATTTTGTGGACCCCAGGATGAATCGGCCATCAGTTCGTTGTTCTACCCCATCAACACCCCAGAAATGTATTTTCCGTATTTTCGTTACTACAACGTTACAACGATCATACGCTTAAATAAAAAGGCTTACGATTCGAATCGTTTTGTCCAGGAAGGGTTTGACCACAAAGATCTGTTTTTTATTGATGGGGGAATTCCCGATGACCGAATTTTAAACAAATTCATATCAATCTGCGAGAACGCGAGCGGTGCCATAGCCGTACATTGTAAAGGTAGGAGACGCTGATTGAAATTTTCAAAATTTGTCAAATTTGTGCCGCAGCTGGGCTCGGAAGGACTGGAACTTTGATCGCGTGCTACATAATGAAACACTATAAGTTCACGGCGCAAGAAGCCATAGGTTGGATAAGAATTTGCAGGCCGGGATCTATTATTGCTCATCAACAAACTTGGCTGCTACAGTAAGTTAAGTTAGACTTAGATTCTACATGAAACACTAAAGCTCATGCGCACAAGTGCGACTACTGAACGTTCCGTTTGTAGGAAACAGAAGCAACTATGGGCAGCAGGCGAAGAATATAGACAAAAACATAAAATGAGTGGGCCTATTAAACATAAAATCGGGATCTATCCAAATCGGTCATCAATGAATAACAATAAAACTAAGGTGAACGATAACGTGACCGGTATCATGAAAAAGGTAAACTCCATGGAAATCAACGATAAAGATGATTTTGAAACAGAAGAGAACGAAATAACCCAAGGCGATCGTTTGAATGAGATTAAAGCACAAAGGGCTAAAGCAAAGCAACCCCTGGAGACAAATCTGTAAGTTAGAGTAAGTCTTTTCTGCGCAGTTTGTACTCACAATGTTTTTAAAGGACTGATTGTAAAGTTGTTCGCTCAAAAGTTATTGTAAATACGTCAACGTCTCCCGTTAGAGATGGGAGGATAACCACAAATACTACCAAGAGTACAACTTCTACCACTAGAGTTTTAACAAAAAGGTTTGTTTAGGGTTTCCTTACAAAGCTTATGCTATTTTTGGTTTTTTTACACTTTTTAAAACATGTCACAACTCGCATGGATTTATCTTTACATGCATGTTTGATTTTTTATATATCACAGCATAGGAAAATATTGATGCATAATATTTTGATTCCAAAATTTTTGCATCGAAACTACGGCGACAATTTTTAACCAAAAGGTTTTCAGTAAGTGTAACCTACCTCGAATATGCACTTCTTGGAGCACATCAAAAAGGATTTTGAAATTTCGATGAATCAAAAACGAAGGTTTGAAATCGTTTAATTCAAGTACATGGTCGTATAGTGGGAATTGGCATTTCTACATTTTTTACTTAGATTCGCAAAACTACAGATTGCAACATCGCTAAACGTTATTGACTAAATTAGTTTGAGTAGTAAAGTCTGTATGGGATATTGCACTCTGTATATTCGGTCGCAAAATTCGGTTTAGACAAGATTGTGCATTGGTATATTTATTCTCTGTGAAGTAAGTAAATTTGGCTTTTGGAAAAATAGGTGTAGTTTAAAAAAGAAGCTATCAATAAGTTCCTGTGTGTGGAAACGCTGTGGTGGGTGGATCTGTCGGTGTTATTTTGTATAATTGGAGGCTGATTTTGGAGTAGTGTTAGCGGTAGTTCATGTAGCGCATGCTTACAGTGCACGGACAGCTTTTGCATAATGAGATATCTATGCCGCGAAACTTTTGTTAACAGAAACGAGCTGAACGAAAGTCAAACAACACGCCGTTGCAGTCAACGAAAAATCAACGCTTCCCTATTAGCCATAGGCAAAAATAAAGTTCCGGAGGCAAAATGTTTACCCAAGAAAAAAGAAAATTTAAGTTGGTTACTTAAAAACGGCACCATGACGCACGATACTATAGCCAAGTGCAGTTCAGATAATAAAATCGAAAGTACTGTAAAAAGATGTAAAAGAACGCTTGCTCTAGAGAAAGATAAGGCGAGTCCGCATTCTGTAAAAGTGTTGCGGCGGTCCCACGGACAGACTTCAAAAGACAGTAATAAAAAGAACGATGGAAAGTTACATTTACCATCTGTCAAAATCAACAAATCGATTTAAAATGTATATATTTTTAAATGGTTGATAGAGTTCAAAGTCTAACTGTAATAAATAAAACACTTTGTTTTCGATCACTCACACAGAGAAAAACAAACACTCAGTGTTAGTACTTAACATGCTATAAGTGTAACTTAGAATAGTGATGGCAGTATTATTTCAGCTTTCGTTACCTACTTTCAAATCAAACCAGTCTATACGTTCTTTTCAAAGTTAACTGAGTGTTCCATTACTTATTTATGTATATAATGTTAAAGAGTAAATATATCATCTACGTCTATTTTATGTTAATTTTTGGACTGTTATGATGGAACGTATTATGGAAAAATAATTTAAAAAAGCGATATTTGCGGGTGTCGCCTGACGTTCGAAGCAAGTGCCAGTTGTAAACTTACTTCGTTACGTCAAACGTCACATGTTTGGATTGTGAGGCGCACCATCTTAGATCAGTTGTTTTTGATCATACGTTGCATAAATATTGTTCGTGTTAGTGATAATACATTACACTTTTATTTAATTCCCACTAAGAGATCTTGGTTATTATATTTGTTAACTCATCTTACGTTGTTTAATTTATATATGTACATTACGTCACTGTATGCTTATAATTGCCATGTTAGCTATAGGTTTCACACCTTACAATCTATAACTTATTGTATTTTCATTTTGAAAAAAAAAAAATGTTTCATATTATAAAATTACTTTTCTCAATAGATGTTTTATTGCTAATCAATTGGAGTTGTCGTTGCCTTTCGCCCCCCTCGAGTTCTTCAGTTAGAAAGAAATCAGCGATTATATAACTACCATATATTAATTTAGTTGAAAAACAAGAACTTATAAAGGAACAATGTAAGTGCTTTTGCGCAAAAGGAATTGCAAGCACGATTTGTAGTGAGTAGTCTAAGTTACATTATAAAAAATTTCACTTTAAACTATCAAGCGCAATAGTTGGCTTCTTCATCTAAGTTATGATTAAGAAGTCCTTCCCTGTCTTCCTCCATATGCCTTTGAGGGAACGTATGGCCATCGCCCAAACTAAATATAAACAGAAAGAATTACAAAAAATTTCAAGACGAGGGGCTAAAGCTGCAACTAAATTAGCTCCGGGGATGATAAATGAATGTCGTCTTAACACAAAGGGAATCAAATTATAAAAACAGAACTAAATTATAAAAACGTTTATTACAAAAGAGAACTAAGTGATTAACAACATATAAGCACATGTTTTACTGTAACTAAGTAACTATTTCCACGGAGTTGAGCTTGCTTGTTTCTGAATCAACCTCTCGATTGCTGTTTAAAAAAATGCAGGATTTTGTACACGTTAAAAAATAGATAGCTATACCAAAGCTCATGCACAAAACTACAAATTAGTCAGAACTGAACAGTTAGTTACCAACACCTCAACCTTCAGTTTAGCGCAGTTACAGACTTGTGTTTGGTAATGAGAAAAAAAAAAAAAATCAAAACAAATTAGCATTTATTAAAAAAAAAAAGAAAAAAAAAACAAACGATGAGTGATTAGTTAGTAGAACAAAATAAATAAAAACAAGTGTCAGGCATCAAATTATAACTAATAACACTGCTGATTTAGCTAGAGCGTCAGCTAATAGTTATACGTCTAACCTGTTCTGTGTGTTGTCCATCGACTGATAAGAATTCGCTTGATGTCGAGAGTTTAGAGGGAATTCAATACCGTCACCCAAACTACAAAAATCATGTGTCAGAGTCGCAAAATAAAAAGTGAAGTAAAAAAATAACACCGCCAACGCCTAAAGGCCCGCACAGGTGTTGGTACTGGAGACTTTCCATCCGTAAACGTTTTTATATTTTAGTTAGTAAAAAAAATAATAATAAAAAAGTGGGATGTTAGTGTACGAAAGACCTTACCTAGTTTTTACTGGAATAAACCACGTTTTCGGATTATCCCCGAAAACCTCCTGGAAATTGTTATAACGACCTAAACTGAAGCCCCTCTTATCAGGCCCGGTCCTAAAAATCGGCGGACGAAATGCTTCTACGAGTAGCGTCATAAATACAAATCTCTATCTTGAGTGCAACTTACCAAGAGTGGTTCTATTCTCGCTAACCAAATAACAGTGATAACAAAACAACGAAATAAGACTCACTCCAAACATAATGGCAACAAAAAATAAAAACAGAATGTGAAATCTACCTGGACCTTCCAAACTACCCTAAAAACGGCACGTTCAAACCTCGTACTTTCCCAACAAACCCACTTACTTTCCAAAAATCAATGAAATACGGAAGAGATGTTAAAGCAACATAGATGCAATAACAAAGAGCATACCCTAAGAACAACAAGAAAAACTTATAATTTGTGAACGAAACACAATTGTTGATCCAGGGACAGTGATGGTCCATTTTTAAGACGCACTCGCCGCAAACTGAACAGTGGTGAGTCCGGTCGGGTTTGATTATTTTACATTTGTCGCAGAATCGCGGGAAGCCTTGGATGTTGATGTTAGTATTCGGGAGGTGTCTAGAAATGTTCTCCAGGATCTGGCGCTGGGCTTCAGCCGATTCTGTGATCGTGAGGGTTCGGAAATCGGCATCGTCGATTTTATACTGAAACAACGGCCGTTTATCACGTATTGATAATCAAGGGTCGTACCTTCAAAGGAACTCGTCCGATTTCCGTGAAGATAGTTTGCCAATACGACCAACACAACATTATGAAGAACATGTGGTAAAATATTAAGTAAACAATTTGCTTAGCAGTGGACTTTACAGTGTCTGAAAAAACATTATTAGGGCGAGGATTGGGCGAGAAATTGGGTTACCTAAGCATAGCTGGCCGACATAAGCATAATAGGACCATGCTATAATAACGACTATGAACAAAACAGGTATCCATTTTATGGCTTTTAAGCACCAAAAGCATGGCCCTCTATTATTAATTGTTGTGGGGCCAGCCATTTTACTACCGTACGTTTCAGTATTTGTTTATTATGACATGAGGCATTACGAAGGCTAGACGAAATCTAATGTATACTTCTATTTCTAGGCATCATAAGGGGCGGGGTTGTAGCAACCTAACCTACAAAAGTCAGACGTAAATTTTACATTTAACGCAAAACGAACCCTCACAGATCATTCTAAATCAAGGGATTTTACATTTTTCGAGCGAATCTTGTTTAAAACGGCCTTCGGCACTTCACACGCATACATACAACAACAGAACACGACAGTCACAACACACACACATCAACAATTTAGTGACTTTTGAAAAGTCAAAGTCAACGATGGCTACACCGATATCACTAGATTTTTCACACCGTCGGTTTAATTTCTCGCAAAAGAAGCCGATTGTTTGAATTCTTGCAGATAGAACTTATAAAAGATTCGGGTATTTTAAAGAATAAAAAATTAATCCGTAGTAATTAGCTTTTAATTGCTTTTCTGTTATGACGGTAAATTTTAATGCATCGACTGTTAAACCTACTCGAAGAAGTAGGTGCAATGTATAGATGTATTCTGCGAGAGTGCGACATCACAGCAATGTGAAAACAGGAAAACTGTATATACCTACAAAACTCACCACTTTTTAATAATGATAATAATAATAATAATAATAATTCAGACGAGTGATTAATCTAGAATATTCGTAGGTTATTATAACTCGCGACGTCCGTAGTTCTAGTAATTTGTTAACTGTCATTGTCAAAATCACAAATTCCTCTAACGCTGCATAAAACCAAACCTGTGTATCAAATTTCGTATAAAATAGGTATTTTGTGATAAACTGTCCTCAAAGAGTGATAATGGGAACACACACGGTCACAAACACCGCATTTCATGCATAAACGAGTAATAATTCTAAAGAAAAAAATGCAACCTTCGTTTTTGTAAACAATATAAGAAATCCCATCCTACATGGCTTCATATTTAAATGAAAATGTATATACTCATACGTTTACCCCACGGGAATACCAAGTGGAACTGCTGGATAGCGCAAAGAAGCGGAACACGATTGTTTGTTCAAGTACGAGTTCGGCTAAAGCTTTCATAACCATAAAACTCCTACAAGAATTTTCTTACAAAACCAGAGAACCCGGCGGTAAGCAAGCCTTGTTTGTTTTGGATGTTCAGAATGTCCCCATCATGACCTCGCACGTCAAGCTTTTAACGGATTTGTCTGTCGTAAGTATCGGCAAAGAAGACATTCAGTCTCTGGCGTTGCAATCAGCGAACGTTATTGTAACAACGGCGGAAGTGTGTGTGTTGCTGTTCAAGAAAAACCTCGTTTTTCTGAATAATTACAATTTGATCGTCATCGATTGTTTGTATGGGGGACAGCAGTCGCTCGTTAGGGAAATTATGGTACGGTACCAAGCTCTCAAGGCTACCAAACCGAGAATATTAGGTTTGACCGCGGGACTGTTGGGTTCGGAAATGCAGCCGGATCGTTTAGAGGCTGAACTCCAACGTTTAGAGAAATTACTTAGTTCCTCCGTAGATACTTCTAGTGAAATTCTTACATTAATACGCTTATCCTGTCGTCCCCGCGAACGAATAATCGAGTGTTCTAAGCACATTCCAAGTTCTTTACAGGAGAGAATCAAAGCTACAATTCACTCATGTAGAGTATTTCTTAACGATCACCGCTACGACCCTAGCGAAATTTACGACGACGATCTGCTCGAGGAATTCAAGCAAGTACCGGACCCAAAAGAGCAGCCTCTGAATCTCTTCGACGATTTCTTAGAAATACTAGAAGATTTGGGCCCGTGGTCGGCCGATAGAGCCGCTTATAGCATGCTTATCAAAATAGAAAAGCTCAAGGTTAAAGTACCGTACGAAAGACACTACTTACTACTTTGTGTAGCTTCCACAGTATTAGTTTCAATAAGAGCTGAGTGCGAATGGGAGTTCCAGGATCTCACAGACAAAGAAAAAGTTTTGCAATTTTCAACTCCCAAAGTTCTTAGGTTTCTCCAGGTTCTTAAACAGTTCAAACCGACGGGGGAAAGACCCGATGTTTGTGAAAAACCACCGGACGTTAAAGATGTTAAAAAGGGAAAAGGGAAGAACTATAAAGGTCCGAGAAGGCCGTTCATTTCGCGCACGCAAAGCGAAGATATGTTGTGTGCACTGGTTTTCGTTAAGAATCGGTACAAAGCGGAAGCTCTCTTCGCCCTTTTGTGTGTAAGTGTAGCTAAATAGGTTAAGGAGTTTAACGATTTTGTTTAAATCAAAATTGTGTATTGTCGTTGCTTCCCAGGACCTGATTTTAGTGTTAGAGTTTTAATTATTAATTACATAACTGTTAACTGTTAGTAAATGTGCGACAGGATCGTGCTTAAGCAGCCACGCCCGTTCAAGACACATCACAAATTATGCAGACGTTAAATTTTATTGTTGATAACAAAGTCATTGGAAACATAAACAATTAGCGGCAATACAATTGTTGGCATGTGCAGCCTACACTACACTAGTTAAGAGTACAACGACGATGTCAATTATTATGCTTAAGTTCGATCCGGCGCGGTTTAACTTTGAGCTCTAATGGTACTACCGTGACGGATTATACATTTTTTCAGGTCATGTCGAAAAACGACGAAGAGTACTGGTGGGTTTCGGTTTCCTTTTCGGTGAATAAAATCGCCGATCCCGTTCGAGAACCCCGCGAAGCCGAGTCTGAGCACAAGCGTCAAGAAGAAGTACTTCGCAAGTATCGTAGTCATGAATGCAATATTATGATAGCCACTTCCGCGCTAGAACAAGGCTGTGATCTTCCTAAATGTAATTTAGTAATACGTTTCGATTTACCTCAATCATTTCATAGCTACATTCATAGCAAAGCCCGAGCCCGCGCTAACGAAGCCCATTTTCTTTTACTAGCCAACGAGAACGAAGTGCTCGAATTTGTTGATAAATTGGCCGAGTATAACGAAGTCGAAAACACGTTGCTTAAAAGATGCTACAGTTTGGAACCGGATAAAGACGAGGAATTGTTGGCCGACGTAATCTCTTCCGAATGTAAGTCGTACCAGCCGTCTTCGGAACCGGGTGCTAATTCGGTTTCCTTGTCCAACGCGATCGCGTTAGTTAACCGGTATTGCGCGAAGTTACCCAGCGATACCTTCACTAGGTTAACCCCCATCTGGCACGAGGAAAAAGCTGCCAACGGTTACATTTGCTCGGTACGGTTACCGATTAATTCCCCGGTCAAAAAACTCGTCACGAGCCCTCCGATGATCAACATGTTACTGGCTAGAAGAGCAGCGGCTTTCATGGTGTGCCAGCTATTGCACAAGGCTGGGGAACTAGACGATAATCTCCAACCCATAGGGAAAGAAAATTTCAAAGCGAACGAAGAAGACTGGAATCATGCAAGTTTGGATGAATCGGACGAAGAAAACTTGGACCCGAGGCCGGGTACGACGAAAAGAAGACAGTACTACTATAAGAAAGTCGCCGACGCCCTATTACATTGTCATCCGGTAGTTGGGGGTTACACTTATTTTTATAAAATTGTGATGACTTTGACTTGTCCGTTACCCGAAGAACAAAATACAAGAGGACGGAAAATATATCCACCTGAAGAGTCGCCGCAGGGGTTCGGGATCCTCACCTCGAAAGAAATACCAAAGGTACGGCGGTGAATTTTACATGTTTTACTTGTGGCCAAACATCTAACGCGTGTGCTTTTAGATTAGTGCCTTTCCAATTTTCACACGGTCGGGAGAAGTTAGCGTAGATTTACAATTGTGTTCACAAATAGTCGTTATGGAAAATCAAATTCTTAAAATTAGGGAATTTTTAAATTACACTTTCACAAGCGTCCTGCGTCTGCAAAAGTACTTAACCCTCTTCAATCCTGATGCTTCTACAAACTCCTACTTAATTGTGCCAACCATCAGCGGTAAGACATTTCTCGTGTTAGTACTTCATTCTAACCCGTCTCTTTCTAGACCCGGAGGACGGTACTACTTCGGTAGACTGGGATTTCATTGATCTCATTTACGCCAACTTAAACGTACTCCCCGAAATCATTCCCGAAGAGGTACGCAAGTCGTACGACTTCGATTCCGAAAAATACAAGGATGCGGTGGTAATGCCGTGGTACCGCAACCAAGACCAACCCCAGTACTTCTACGTGGCCGAAATTTGTTCCAATTTAAATCCTTCGTCCGACTTTCCGGGTTCGGACTACGCCACTTTCGAGGAGTACTACTTAAGAAAGTACAACATACAAATACAAAACAAAGAACAGCATCTCTTGGATGTCGACCACACGTCCGCCAGACTGAATTTTCTTACACCAAGATATGTCAATCGAAAAGGAGTTGCTTTACCCACGAGCAGCGAAGCTACGAAACGCGCAAAAAGAGAAAAATTGGAACAAAAGCAAATTCTGGTACCGGAACTGTGTGCCATACACCCGTTCTCTGCATCTTTGTGGCGCAAAGCTGTATGTCTACCCTGTATCCTGTATCGAATCAACGCGCTACTGCTCGCCGACCAGATTCGACGGACTGTCGCCATCGAACTAAATCTAGGCAAGCTAGAATTAGATCCGGGTAAGTTTTTTGTTTCTGTTTTAGGAAGTTTCTTCATTCCAACATTGCAGACTTTAAGTGGCAACCGTTAAACTTCGGCTGGTCGTTAGCCGATGTCTTGAAAAAATCCAAAGAAGAAGAGAAGAAGAAACAAGAAAAAATAGAAACCCCTGAAGAAGTAAGTTCCGAAATTTCGAAAATCGAAGATCTCGAAATCGTCGAGCAAATCGGAGAGGACGATCATAGCGACGAAGACGGAGAAATGATCGAGATCGGTACTTGGTCTAACGAAATGGCGCAGTTAGACGGAAACGGGGAGTACCCCGTGGTGAGGTACGCGTCACCCACTAGCTGGATCGATCTTCAGAATACATACGACGATGATTCGTCGTTTTCGGATTCGGATTACTCGGGGAACGAGTCTGAGTCGGAATGGGGCGGTTTGCGAATCGAATTTACGGGAGACAACATTGCGGAGGCCCTAGATGACGAGAATAAAAAAGAAGATGATTTTGAGCTCGTCGATTACTCAAACGTTTGGAAGATCGACGACGATAGCGAGTTGACGCAGTCGTTGAAGAAACAGTTCCATTGGGCGTGTGCAGACAACAAGAAACATATTCTTTCGTCGGGAATATTAATTTCGAAATCAGGAACGTTCCGGAAGAATCCAGAATGTGATACGTGTAATGACCAAAAGATTGAACTTCCGTACGACTGTTCTTTCGATTTCGATAAGTTATTTATTGATGTGGACAAGCGTGCGCCGCTTCAAATTAACTTACCGCCTATTTCCGACCGGAATGAGTACGACATATCAGAAAATTTAGTATTCAAGTTTGATGAGCAGCCTGATTTGGAGCAACATCCGGGACCTAGTCCTAACGTGCTTTTACAAGCTTTGACTATGTCAAACGCCAACGATGGTATTAATTTAGAAAGACTAGAGACTATTGGGGATTCGTTTTTGAAATACGCGATCACGAATTACTTGTATTCCAAATACGAAAATGTTCACGAAGGGAAATTGAGCCATTTGAGGTCGAAGCAAGTGAGCAATCTCAACTTGTACAAACTCGGACGGAGGAAATGTCTTGGGGAATATATGATAGCTACGAAGTTTGATCCGCACGATAATTGGTTACCTCCATGTTTTTACGTTCCAAAGGAGTTAGAAGAAGCTTTAATAGATGCACAGTTTCCTGCGAATTGTTGGACGGTCGCAGATATGGCGGCCACCAGAGACATGACTCTGGACGCTATATGTTCTATGGTACGCGAACGCGGCGAAGCTTTATCTTTAAATAGTATAATTCCATATAATTTGGTCACTCAACATAGTATACCTGATAAAAGTATTGCGGATTGTGTGGAAGCTTTAATAGGTGCTTATTTGATCGAATGCGGACCACGCGGCGCCTTGCTTTTCATGGCGTGGTTGGGCATCAAAGTACTACCTCAGTTGGACGATGGAAGTTATGGGGAAATCGAATTGCCTAAGTCGCCTCTGTCGTATCACGAATCATATCCAAAGGAAGATTTAGAGACGTTGTTGGATGGATACGACGAGTTCGAGAGACACATAGGGTATAAATTTCGGGACCGGTCCTACCTTTTACAAGCTTTAACCCATGCTTCTTTCTCGCCAAATACATTGACTGACTGTTATCAAAGACTTGAATTCCTGGGCGATGCAGTTTTGGATTACTTAATCACTAGACATTTGTACGAAGACTCCAGAATGCATTCGCCAGGAGCACTGACTGATTTAAGGTCCGCCTTAGTGAACAATACAATTTTTGCTTCGTTAGCCGTTAGAAACGGGTTCCATCGGTACTTCAGGAACTTATCGCCCAGTCTGAACGAAGTGGTTGAGAAGTTTGTCAGATTGCAAGAAGAAAGTGGCCACACTCTCGTCGACGAGTTATATTTGGTCGTGGAAACCGAAGAAGTGGAAGACGTGGAAGTACCAAAAGCGTTAGGCGACGTTTTCGAATCTGTCGCCGGAGCTATATTTTTAGACTCGGGAATGTCGCTGGATGCAGTCTGGAAAGTTTACTACAACATGATGAAATCCGAAATCGAACAGTTTAGCAATAAAGTACCGAAGTCGCCGATTCGCGAACTGTTGGAGTTGGAACCCGAAACGGCGAAATTTGGAAAACCGGAGAAACTCGCGGACGGAAGAAGGGTCCGCGTCACCGTGGAGGTTTTCGGGAAGGGAGTTTTCAAAGGTATTGGTAGAAATTACCGGATCGCCAAATGCACAGCTGCTAAGTGTGCGCTCAAAAATCTAAAAAAACGAGGGCTCATAAAAAAAGTTGACGAGACGTAACATTAAGTGCCATTACTTTCCGTTTAGATGTTTCACAAATGTATGTTCGCTTAGTACAATTTCGCGCGCAATATAATCCGTCTATTTTGGATGCAGAACAAATCCTAGAAGAATGATAATCAATAAAGTGTTCTATAAGGTACCACTTAGTACATAGTATTAAGATTTAAAAAATCGTGTTCTATAGAAGTGTTACAAGTTCAAACTTGTGTAAATAATTTATCATATCCGATGCACCCACCCCTAACATTCTACTGCAGCCGTGACTGAAGTGGCTAAGATTCTGTTCGACTAATCTCTACGAACCTTCGTGTGCTATTCTAGTCATAAAATTGAGGTTCTATTAAATCATTTCAAAGTTAGCGTTTACGTGCAACATAGGCCTTAAAGATTCCCAGTAATCTGTGATTTCTAGCACGGTATATTGCGTAAGTGTGACAGTGTCAGGGCAGCTGTTAATAATATTTTTCGTTTCGTTTCGATAAGTTGAGTTTCGAATTTTTACGATCGTTACGCACTTCGGTTGTTTACAACACGGTTTTTTTTACAAAGAATTTGGTAAAAAATGTGATAACTGCTCGTGTGATAGAAGCGATGGTGTACATTAGTTAGGGAAGAAATATTTCAGTTCAATATATTGTAGATAATTATTTTTTAAAGTTTAATTTTTTTGTTCGTTTGATAAAAATGTGTTTTTAATGTAATAAAATTATTCGAAAATCGGTGTATGTACTTTCATCCTGTTACCTCACGTTAACGTCATCAACTCTAGTTCAGATGCACGTTTTGACGTGATTTCCTGCGATCGAGATAAGATATTAGCTTTCAAGAAATCTGTTTTTAAGTCCAAGTTTCGTCAGTGACATTAATTTGACATTTAAAGATTACATTAATCGGATTTAAACTCAGATAATGATATTTCCTGTTAAAATAAAAATTGAATGTCATTTCTACAGGTAAAAGGAGATAACAATTTGCATGATGCTTTGTCAGTTCCCGCCTGGCAAACGGAACTTGATATCTGATGACGTCTGTCTCGTGACAGTTCTGTCAACGTCGATTGACACATAAACTCGAAAAGTTTTAAAAATCGATTTTTTTTTAGTTCGTAGAGTGTTTACGACGAGTGTAATAAATGTATAAAATGAACAACAATCAGAGCAAAGTGCTTGAACACTTTGGAATTTTACTGTCGATGACATTTATCATTATCCTGACATTTGTGTAAAGATAGTAACATGCATTTTTAGATAACTAAAAGTTGTGCTCTTTCAAACTTTGGGTTTTTAATTTATTTATTTTTTTATAGCTAAATTCGATAAGGCCACCACTCGTGAAAAGATATTGTTTTCCTTAACAGTAGCCCGTAATATCAGATTTTGATTAAAAAACACTATGCACTTAGGAGGTCGATAATGATCTAGAATTTTCGACTTAAATTTTTTATGTGTGTGCGTGCTAGCATCATCGCTTAACACAATCGAAGATAATATTGAACAAGCAGAAAAAATGTGCCACTTAACGAGTTACCAAATACGTTTTTTATGTACACCAAATTATATTATAACTGCCAGAGGGTACATGAGTCGCTCAGCGAGACATCAGCGTACGAAATATGTGAATTTCGTAATTTTTGCATTGCCATCTTGCGATCTTTCAAAACCTGCATCTTCGATTTCGCAATAAACCGAAGCGATAACGCAGAAGTCGTTCCGAACCCTAAAATATCAATTTCCCGAAAATTAGGTACCTTATGTAAGGTTGGTGTTTCAAAATCCGAGTACACGTCATAAGCGAACCTCGTTACGAAACGGTCGCCGGGTCGAAACAATACTAACGCGACCTTTTTTCTCGAAAAAGTTCCGCCGTATACGTATGTGGACAAAATTCGTCTGCAGGAAGGCGGCGTTGATCATCTCAAGGTCATCCCTGTTTGAAAGGTAAAACAAGTTTAACACCGCTATTTTAATGTCAGTAGGAGACCTTACGTTTACAATTTCTAATTTAAACTTTCACTTTATTTGTCTGCTATGTTAGCGCGTAAGATATTTCAAACCTTTCCACAGCCTTGGTATTACGGTACAGTTGCAAAAATGCACCAGGAATTCCGATCCGTTCCTTAAGCGCGCTGTATATATTTTTCCCTCCGGTGAAGCCGGGGTCAAATTTTGAAAAATCAAAACCACCACACGTTGTGCAAGCGAGGGCTGCGGTAAAACTCGTAATTCCACATTTTTCGGCTCGTTTCGGTGAGAGTGGCTTACGTGACATACGGTCTGTCTTTAAATTTTTGTGTATTTGTAAAAATCTATGTCTTATCTTGATCATCGATTGCTCGGTTGATAGTTTCTCAATAAAACCATTCAGTTCGAAAGAGAGAGTAATAATCAGTGCGGTAGTGAGTGTCTACGAACGCGTCAAGGCGACTAATGTTTCCTGACGTTCTGCGAGAATTTTGAAACAAACAGTCACAAATCGTACTCGGACAAGTTTGCATCGAGAAAATGCAGTCTTTTGAAGTGATTCGAGAAAGATTAGCGAAACAAAACCAAGACCACCTTTTGCGCTTCTGGAACGATCTCAACGATGAAGAAAAAGAAAAATTCGTTCGCCAGCTGGACACGATCCAGATCGAAAAAGTCAACGAGTTGTATGAGCGGGCGGATTCGTCTTTTCGACAGCTGGAAAAAACATACTTGGATGACAAAATGAAGCCGATGCCGGCTTCTCGCTCGGAATCCGAAGAAAACTGTCCCCCGGAGACATTGGAAGCTTACCGAAACCAAGGTTTCGAAGAAATCTCGCGGGGGCACGTCGCCGTCGTCTTGCTTGCCGGCGGGCAAGGGACTCGTTTGGGAGTCGACTACCCCAAGGGGATGTACTCTGTGGGGCTTCCCTCCGGGAAGACGCTTTTCCAAATCCAAGCCGAACGAATCCGGAGGTTGCAGACCCTGGCGAAAGAGAAGACCGGAAGGTACGGGAAGATCCCCTGGTACATCATGACGAGCGGACCTACCGATAAACAATCTGCGAAATTTTTGGAAAAGAACAGCTACTTTGGTCTTTCCGAAAACGACGTGATCCTGTTTAAGCAAGGTCTTCTTCCGTGCTTCGACTTCGACGGAAAAATTCTCTTGGATGGTAAAGGTTCGGTTGCCCTTGCGCCTGATGGTAACGGCGGGATTTACCGCTCGTTAGCTGCTAACGGCATTCTGGAAGACATGCAACGAAGAGGTGTCAAATACGTCCACGTCCACAGCGTAGACAACATTTTAGTCAAAGTAGCCGATCCCGTCTTCATAGGTTACTGCAGGTCCAAAGATGCAGACTGCGGTGCTAAGGTTGTTCGCAAAAACGGCCCCAACGAAGCCGTCGGGGTCGTGTGTTTGGTCGATAACCGCGTCCAAGTGGTCGAATACAGTGAAATAACCGAAAGAACGGCCAATTTAAAAGACAACAAAGGAGACCTCGTCTTCAGTTCCGGCAACATTTGCAACCACTTCTTCACGGTCGACTTTTTGAAAGACATCGCGAAGCACTACGAAGATAAGCTGAAACTGCACGTCGCCAAGAAGAAGATCCCCCACGTCGACGATGATGGTGTGTTTGTGAAGCCGTCGAAGCCTTGTGGCATCAAAATCGAGAAGTTCGTTTTCGACGTTTTTGAATTTTCGAAAAGGTTCCATACATGGGAGGTTCCCAGGCGAAGCGAATTCAGTGCGATGAAGAATGCCGATAGTGAGAAAAAAGACTGTCCTTCGACCGCGAAAAGTGATTTGTTAACTCTCCACAAGGCTTACATTGAAAAAGCGGGTGGAGTTGTGGAATGTGATAAAGTCGAAATTTCACCGCTTCTGTCGTACGACGGTGAAAATTTAGAAGAGCGTGTCAAAGGAAAAGTGTTTAGTTCAGAAATCGTTTTGAAATCTAATGAAGAAATGTGAATAAATTTGTTTTGGTTAAAAATTAATGTTCCTAATCTAGTTTCGTCGAAAAATTTGCTCTAAAAATAACAATGCTCTGTTTTGATAAATAGAATTATGTACTTGTAAGCGATATTATTGTTTAAAATATTAAGATAGAGTCAGATAACGTTTTTATCAATCAGTCCAATATATTATCTGGTATTTTTTTACTTATCAGTAGTTTTCTAAATGTTTTTAAAAAAACGTTTCACTTATTTATTTATTGTATATTTTGTTTGGGTAAAGGTAAAGATTGTAAAAAATATCATTTTTTTTTAATAAAGAAATGTCACTGAATTGCATTTTTATTTTACGATTCAGCATTCAAGACATGCAAAAGTTCAAGGCCAAAGGAGTGCCTCTGAAGTAACAACAGTATTCGATATTGTTGCTCCGCCCGGTCAATAATTATTATTCAAAATACCTGACTTTTAAATTTGCTAAATAATTTATATAAAAATTTCCATTTTCATTTCTAATATATGGTTATTTACGCAATATTCGAGGTCCACCTACTGCACCTTTACGACAGAGACAAAAAAATTACTTCTCCGCAAAAGGTGAACGACAGTCCGGATAACATTTAGTACGAGTACTGAATCATGAAAGTAAATTTTGTCATCAATGGTAACAGAATATTTATTACATCGAAAGTCAAAAATGTTACATAGTCGTTGTGTAGATTCGTGTTACGATATTCATTTTCATTTATCATAAACGTAATTATCATACTATAAAGACTTAAAGAGTGACGTGATAGGCAACACCTTATACATCACAAGTGTATTTTGCATGGAGATACTATTGCATATTATTTTATTGAAACACCTTGAAGTGAAGCACCTTCAATCAAAAACTCACTTACTTGTTATCTCGAAAATATTATTTTGCTGTACTTTAGTCTAGGTAATTTGCTAATTAATTAACTCACTTCTTTAATGCCAATAAAGTTGGGAGGGTACTATCTATCTCACTTTAGTTATAGAGGAAGGAGCGTTTAAACTGTTCTCGACAATCTTTAGTAAGAAAAAAATATATTTTGTAGCATTTATCGTACAGAGGTCTACAATAGAAATTATGAGTAGTACTAAAACAAACTTATCATATAATAATTAATTTAGCTCTTCAATCTAACTTGATACGTAATAAAATCTCGCTATAAATTAACATTACCTAAAATAACTATCATTTATTGGCTATTTACATAACATACAAGCATATTAACTCCTCTTATTATATGCGTAGTTCTTTCATAAAAATTATTGCCGAAAAACAAGTAACAGACATAATCAGTACTTACAGATATGGATTCACACAGTTGTTACTGTAACCGGGTAACATCTAAACATTTGAAGATATTGTACAAATTTCAACATTGGCCATAAAAACGAATATGAGGGTTTATTTAATAGTACCAATAGTCAAGGTTTGAACATCGTTAAAATTTTAACATAATTACAACACGTAACATATACTTGGAATTGGCAGGTTTAACATTGTTTCCTACATAATATCGTTATACGTAAAAAAAGGGCTTAATTTATTTAATCCGAAATAAATAAGACTAGATACAAACAGCTTTGCAAACAGTTCTACTAACTGTCTTTTTTTGTTGTTGTTTAGTTAGGACATTGACTGCCATATGAGATATGACAGATATGTTGTAAGTTCAGTTACAAACTACTAGGAACAAAATATATTTTTGTACAAGTTGGAATGGCTTTAAGTTAGAGTCATCTAACTTAATTACTCGCAAGTTAAGTGAGTTGATCTTATTAACTTGCATGTAATTCGTCGAAAACCCGAAGATTAGATATGCACTGGATTAAGTCAAACTCTTTGTACACTTGATATGTTACAAAGTTTATTGTAAATGGCAGTCAATGTTTCAAACCTGTTTGAATGCTACACAGAACTGCACGTAATTATTAACAGTACATTTATATACAACCATATAATCTCTAAGCTAAATTTTTAAAATGGAAAATTGAGGAGTACATAATATCAGTCTCACAGTTTTAAATGTTTTAGTATTGCATATGATGCAATGAATTTACATCTGTTAAATTTCGTTATCGTGGCAGAAGTGAATTTTATTTAATTCATTATTTGATATCATGTCCAGGGGTTTCGAATTTACTAATACATGTTGGATACACCCTTCGAATCCCTTGTAATACGCCGACGGTAATCCTTGAGGTAGCGTGGTTGTACCTCCTAAAACCACAATTTCGATTAAATGCATTTTTAAACAAAGGAAACGTTACGTACCAATCCATAATTTAGAATTTGTTCTTAAAGATATGGCACCATACTTCGCTATACCTTTCACCGGCGGCTCTCCGTCGATTGATATGAATCCCGCCCTTTTTCTCCTCCTAATTTGAATCGTGTGCCATTTGCCGTCGTCGATTTTCGTTTTGGACCTGAAAAACACCACGGAATTTAACCGAATTTCAACGAACCGACCGATGTTGCGCAAGATTGCTTTTCGTACCTGATCGCCCAAAACGCATCCTGTTTTCCCAAGTTGTAACTAATCTCCGGATAACCGTTAACCATAGCTATAGAAAAATAATCTTCTTTAATGCTTCTATTCTTGCTTCTCCAGAGCAGAAGAGAGTCTGAAGCGAATGTGCGCAGTTTAATTTCGTATCGGTTGCCGCGTTCCGGCTTTCTTCTGAAAATTCTTCGATTAATGGGCGAATTGTAATGGAAATTTAAAATTAATGCATTTTTGCGACGCTTTCGAATTTCTATCGCTAGGCGAGTCTAGACCTACGATAAGCTTTGAAACGAAATTTTTAAATAATGTGCGATGTCGTATGAGGTCTGAGTAGCATACGAAGTGTTACTTTTAGACCAGGCCAAAACTCGTTTGTAGACATCCCAAGGTTTCATAGTCCTATAAAAATTTTATTTATTTATATGTTATTTTTAAATTTTTTCACGTGTCCAATTTTTGATTTTTTGGTGATTTTTCAACGCTGGCATGTATCCAGTTACACTGGTCTAAAAATAACATTTCATACACTACTTACCTGTTTAAGGTTCAAGCGTTGTCGGACTGGACACACTCGGTCCCTAAAATATATATCGATTCGGGTCACCATCGACCATAACAGTAAAGTACCTACTCCTTTTGCTACCTTGTTCGAGTCGCACTTTCAACGATCTAAGTACACATTTTTTGGACCACAGCGGGATCTAATAGTTTAAGTGGGAATTCATTACTAAGGTTAATTTATTTAGTGCAGTAGAATTCAATCACGTTGCCTTTTTCTAGCCTTTTACGGCAAGTTTCGACTTTTGCCGCTTTGTTCGAACTGCAACTAGAGGTAAGTTTCATTCGTCTTTTTTTTTTCTTACTCTCGGGGTTCATCGCCAAGATCGTATCGGACACATTTGGTGTTCGGTAAATATACATTATCCCACGTGCAATCCTTGTCATGGTGGGGTTCGACTTTTCCTGTTCGGGTCCCGGCGGAATAAAACACCACTTCCTCGACTCCCGTCATTTTCGAGTCGCAATAGAGGTTTGCCGTTTTATCTGGATCCCAGTGTGCAACTTTTGCCTTTTTTTTTTTCTCTAAGGGGTCACGATCAGGGGACATGTGTGCCTTCGGTAAATACGTGTCTTGGTGTAATCTAGCGTAGCGAAATCCAACTTTTCCAATTTTGGTCGGGCCCTATTAGAATCCAACTCCGGCACCTTATTTTCCCGTCATTTTCGGGTCACGCATTTTTTTTTCGGAGGCTTATCGCCAGTGTCGGATTAGGTACATTTGGCCTCCGGTAAACACACCTTTGTCTTGACGTAATTCGTATCTTAGCGGAATCCCCCGTGAGATCACAGTGGGATCCAAATTCCGTACCTTTTTCCGTTCCGATTGTTGCCGGTAGTTTGGGTCAAAGCAGGATCTGGCTTTTACGTTTGCCGTTTCTGTTTGCTGCGTGATCCCTTCGGGGTTACGTTTCCCTCGAAAATTTTTCGGTGTTGATCCAGTCCGACGTCGTTTCCAAACTTATGCACTAGAGCGCGTGTTTAAGCGGGTGTATTATTGGTTGCCTATCTAAGGGCGCGCGAAAGTCAAGCAGCGGAGCGAGCGTTAGTCGTTGTTAATGGTACACCTACCTGGTGGGATCGTACAAATCAAAATTGTAATATTCGTCCTCGTCGAAGGTGTCGTATGTGTTATTGTCGACGATCTCTTCTTCGAGGGTATCGATATCGTCATCGTCGTTGTCAGGATAGTCGTCGTTAGTGAAATTATGGCTGTTAGTAGACGAGTGTTAGTAAAGTTAATTAAGTCAAAAGTTAGTTACCTTCTGTATCCCCGGTTCCTAAATTGGAGAAAAGTGGCACCGTTAAATTTAATTGCGGGAGTCTCCTCTTGTGCTGAAATTTTTCCCTAGGCTAAAATCGTGAATTAAGGGATAAAGAAATCTTACATATCTCGCAGTATTTTCCCTTTGTGTTGGGCGGACATTTGCATATAAACTGATCGAGTTCTGGTATACATAGGCCATTATTTAAGCAAGGATTTTTGGAAATGGGACACGGTAATCCGTCATATGAGCCGACATTGAATGCGCATCCGTTCCTATTAGAATCAAAAGAGCAATCCGGCAATTTACCCGAAATGGGAAGGGGTTTTCCATTTAGGAGAATCCTTTGTATTACGCCCTTATATCCTTTAGATGCGCCAGATAAACGATGCACTTCGTCCCACGCTCTGAAACGTATACACCACGTTGACGATCGAACAAGACCATTTTGCGAATAAGTATATTACGATAAAGATCCAACGTAGAACGGCAATTCCAGATTAAGTTCTGTTAGTGGCGTGCCGGAATAACCACGAACTATGCTAGAATTATCCAATTGTAAAATTCCTTCTCGTCCGTCCCGAAATATACGGGCCCAGTGCCACTTCCCAATATTTACAGTCTCTTTAGTTCTGGAACATTTAAGGAACATAAACCAGTAATTAAGCCCCGACTTTGCGAAAAATCACTCACGTTAAATTCGCTATTCCGCTTCCTAAGTTGAATCTAAATTGTAAATGACCACGTGCCAAGTTCAACGAAATAAAGTCGCCGCGACCATTTTTCATTTGACCGTTGTACAATATTAAACCATTAGCTGATTTTGGCATAAAATACACCTCGATCGAAAAACTCTTTCTAACTCCCTCTAATCGTGGAAGTCGGATATAACTCGATCCATTGAATTCCGGATTCACAATGCCTGCATATTTATCTTCTGAAACACATAAAACAAAAATTCATATGTGGCCCTCCCGTACCGTATACACTTTATTTATTTAATCCATTCGTCTATAGCTTTTGTAAACAGGGCGCTATTAGTATGCGGACGGACACACGTGTCGCCCTTTTCGCCCTTCGATACCGGCACATCGAACAAGACAAATGATCAAATACGACGTTAATTGAAAAATCTACATTTTTATAACGTTAGCTACGATTTTTACCGACACACCTTATTATAATGGCATTAGCTAACGGTTATGTGGGATGACGGAAGGAAAACAAGTGTAGGTTAAGACTCGGAACGCCCACATTCACTTGCCAACGTATATGAGAGGCACATTAGCTATTTTTTCCATGTTTTATTACTCATCTTAACCTTAAGTACGCGTCATTATCCGAAAAACACGCTTTTTGTTGTTTCGCGCTCGTTCCTCGCTCTTCTTTTCGGGTTTTCGAGTATGTAGACCGTTTAGACGATATATATGTACTTTTTTTTTTCATAGGTAGGTAATTGTTTTTCTTTCGCTCGCGAACTGCGCAGCCACTTTCCGACACGAATACGACGACGAGAAAGTTTTCGACATGAGGTTTTTGAAGTTCGAGCGTGTTTCGCCCGATAAATTTTTATTTTCTGAGAGAATGTTTCTTTAATTTCCCGGTAAGAGGGGATATAACTAAGATTAACTGCTCGGAACTGTGCGCCTACTAATATACGTTAACCCTTCCAGCGTTCCCTTTTTGGCAAGAAATTATTCTAGGCCGTCTTGTTGGTCTATGGCTCTGGTTTAATGCAATTTGTTATCTCATAACAAATTGTGTGGACCAGTTCGAGTTATAAACGTAGGAAAATTTAGGATAATCCGTACAACTTGACGCAATTCTCCCTTGTCCAGTCGAATATCGATCTTCTTCGACGAGACCCTACAATTATTAAGATCGTGCCCGCTTCATAACAACGGAAGAGGAAACCGGGACATGTTTCAACAATAAGATTACATACTCGACCGTTAAAGATCCTATTTTATGCCTTTGTCGAACCCGAACGGAAAATCAACTTTCCTCACTCATTCATAAAATATGCGATAAAACGTGGACCGTAAACAAATTCGAGATACGGTTTTGGCACCCGAACGGATTACAATGAGCGTCAAGACTTCAACAAGTAAAGGCAAAAGGAAGGATAAATCCGTAAGTCCACTCTTCGGGGATCGCCGGCGAGAGGGCGAAAAGTGGGGGTTGACGGAGCGATTGACCGATTTCGTCTCGCTCGGCGAGGTATTTCTCGAGGCGATTATGTAGTTAATTCGGAACGAAAAAGTCGGCCAAATTTCTGGAAACTTGGAAAAGTCGAGTCGACTCGAACTACGGCTCGTCTGCGACGAAACAGGAAGACCATTAAAAACTCTAACTTACCCATTTCGCAGCGAGGTCCCGTACGGCCGACCGGACACTCGCAGACGTAAGCGTCCGAGCTGAGCGCCGTACACGTGGAACCGAACTTGCAAGGGTTGGAGCGGCAAGGTTCGATGGGTTTTTCGCAAAATTCGCCCACGTGGTGGAGATCGCATTCGCACTGGTAGGTCTCGGGGGTGACCAAGACGCAATCGCCGCGGTTCGAGCACGGTGAGGATTTGCAGGGGTTGTCGCCGCACTCGGCTACGCCTCGCGTGTCTAGCACCCAGTCGTCTCTGTTGACATGAAGCTCGATGGGCCGACGGCCGATTTTCAGTTTTCTGATACATCCTCGCAGGCCTCTGTCGGTACCGATGTTTTCGTATACCCTGGAATTCGTAAATTAACAATACGATCGACCTTATTAAAAAGGCATGTAATCATGAACAAACATGGAGCAGTTATATGAGCGATACGGACAAACTTTTCGATCAATTATTACTAAGTTCGCCCTAGTAGACCCGATCCGGAGGTCTACGAACTTGGCGAAAAAATGTTAATAATTGATTCAATTAATAAACCAGCACGGAACGGTATTTGATTAGAAGCCACAGATAGGCGCGGAAACGGTCTTGTTTTATTAAGTTGTCTATAATCTAATCAAACGCAGCTCCGTCCTCAACTAGTTTACGGTTAACCCAGACGCCGCATCAGCTTTATTTTAAGCTGTTCGTTAGATCGCGGACGTTCGAAGCGATTAGACAGACGGTCTCGATATTTTCCGATTCTTTGATTTAAAAAGCCGTTCGTTCGAAGGGAAAAAACAATAAAAATAGATTTCGTTTTAGTGGCTTTTGTGTAGAAAAATTCGTTTCAGTTCCCGTTCCCGATTTGGAAAAAACCAATGGATCCATTAGCTTTTGTTGCGGAGACGAAATTGTACGTGCGAAAATACAAAGCGGATTTCGTGTTTTCGGGCGTACGTCCGTCCGTTTTGGAAGGGATGATTTTCTTAAATTTTGTGTAAATTTAACGAATAAAGTGTTTAAGTTCCGACGGAGTTAACTGCTTATCAAAGTTTGTTCAGGTGTACGTGGCGAGTAAAAATGTGTGTGTGCTTTAATGACCGGCCCTTGATGCACACATACCTTGTGTAGTTAGAGGGGACGAAGCCGACGTACGTATCTTCCAACAGGTCGAGGGCTTTGAGCGTGCCTCTGGCTTGTCCCGCGACGTCTTCTCCTTCGTCCAATTTGAGAATTCCGTCCCTGTGATACCTCTTAATGACGACCCTGTGGAAATATCCGAGTTGAATTTTGTCGACCGAGCGTATGAGCACGTGTCCGTTGCCGAGGTTGTACTTGAATTCGACGAAACCGTCGACGATTGCCAAAGAAACGAAGTCGCCCAAGCCGTCCGGCTTTTGTTGGTTGTAGAGCAAGAGTCCGTCGTAAGCGTGCGTTTTGAACTCGACTTCTATGCTCAGTTTGTGATAGGCTTTGAGCGGTTTGAGTTTGACGTAAGAGCGACCATGAAAAGCTGGGGTGTCGTATTGTTTGTAAATCACTTCGGTTTCGCAAAGAGACCCCGTAAAGTTTGCGTCGCAAACGCAAGTGAACGTGGCGGCGGGAAGATCAACACAAGTGCTAGCCCGATGACAGGGAGATGAGCTACAGGCTCGGTATTCGTCGGTAGGATTTGGCTGAGGATCAGCTGCAAGTAATCGTCATCATCATCAGTATCTTGAGGTGTTGAGTAAATTCGATAAAAAAAAACAATCAACCGTCAATTTTCTTTTGTCATACTTACCTATGCACTCTTGACGATCCGACGATTCGGAATGATCGGGAAGACAAGCGCACGCTCCAGCTACGCAGTGGCTATACATTATCATGCAATCGGAGTTATCTGAACAGAGATCGCCTAGGAGGGCCGTTACGACGCGAACGGTTGCAGGGGTCGGACGGTATGCTGGGGCGTAGTTTCCACCTACACGGAGATAAGAACACGTCTTTTATCTTATGTAGTCATTTTATTGAAACAGTTTACAGCGGAATGCTACATTATGTCTACGTTAATTTTTATTTATACAATCGTTTAGGGCATATCAGTCTCACCGCGGGTATTGTAAATGGCATTAGGTCCTGTGGCAGATACGTTTATTTCGGAAGCAGCTTTATTATCTGTTTCAGCAGGATAAGAGACTCCTTGAACGGGTCGCATAATAGATCCGCTCCTCTCGTAGTAGTAACGAGGATCGGGAACTAGTAGATGTCGTGTCGATTTTGATAAAGGCGAATTAGAATCGTCGGGTTGCGTAAACTGCAGTGGTGTATAACGGCGCACGGGCCAATCGGTGCTCGGGAACATGTCCTCTATAAAACACGTTCGTCTATGTCAATGTGGAAATTTCGAATGAATTTTTAATTTACCCTTGCAAGTTCCGAAAGCCTGCACAACTATATCTTTTTGGAGCCGACAAGCTACCTGTCGCAGTTCGCACGCCGACGGATACGTTTGTCCGTCGCTTCCGCACACGACCTGAAAGATTTTTATTTGTGGAAAATAAATGGCACAAACATTATTCTAAGAACGTACTTGAGCGTCATTTTCTTGAGGGCATTCCGTATGACATTCGCATATAGCAAATCCACCCCGTTCGACGCATGTTGCTCCAAAATAACAAGTCAATTCTTTGCACGTCGTCGGGGGCGACGTAGTCAGATCCGCTGCGGAATTTCAATTGAAATGAAATATGTCACTTAAATCCATTACGATTCATACCTGGTACGCAACCGTTAGGACCCAGAACTTTGTTATGGCTGGTGCAGACGGTGCACTTCTGGCCTTGCACTCCCGGGTTGCATACGCACCTTCCCGTCATCTGCTCGCAGTCTTCTCGGACCGAGCCGAAAGTGGAACAACCGCAAGCTAACAATATCATCAGAATTTCCGCTTTTCGTTTTCGACTCGACAAATGGAAAAGACTTACGGATGCAACCGTGATGGCCCGAGGAGATTTTTGGCAAGCCCCAATATCCAGGTTCGCATCGATCACATTTGGCACCACCTACGCCCGGTCGGCACCTACACTGTTGTGTTTCAGGATCGCACGTGTCGGAGTAAGACCCGAGTTTGTTGCATCCGCAAAGCGAAGGACATCCAGCGTGACTCGGACCTTGAGCGGGAGTCTTCCCGTCCGGACAGCAACCGTACCAAGTATCCTCGCAACTCTTTTGTTCCATGAGACTTTGATCTAGAAGCAATATCGTGTTGTTTGTTGGTGTTGTTGTTGTTGTTGTGTTGTTGTTAACTCCGTTCAAGCTGATGTGACGAAGCTTTTAAAGTTTTTACCTTTAGGACAACACCTCGAAAAGCGCGTCGTTTGATGGCAGTAGCTACCGGAAGGACAATCTTGTCTTTTAGGACCGCTTCCGCAATCTAATTCCTTTCCTGTGAGGGGATCTGTTAATGGTTTTTCGCCATTGCATGGCTTTACTTCCATTCCTGCGTACAAATTCGATTTGATGGGGTAATGGATAAATTAGTTGTAATGAATGAAATTAGTATGGTGTTAATCAAACCTTGACAGAGATCGAGTGGCCTCAACCGCAACTCCTCCTGCCTTTGACATGCTTCCATCTTCATGGCGCAAAGCGAAGGATAGATTCGCAAGTCGGAGGCGCAAACGGGCTTCGAGGCAGAAACGAGTGCGGCACCGGCACAATCGAACTGACAGGTGCAACGTGGAAAGTTGTCCGGGCCTAATTCGCACGTCGCTTCGAAATCGCAATGAATATCACGGCAGGCTTCTTTTTCGGCCGTGGACAAGTCCGGAATCGTATTCTCCGGACCGACCGTATCGAGGTCCGTGCCCGGGCCAACGTTGTTAGTTTGAGCCGTGAAGGGGGAAAGAGTCGCTGGAGAGGATGTTAGATCGTTGTTAATGAGTTTCATTAGTCGGTTGCTCGGTAAAGGGGGTATAAAACAAGAACATGACAACTTGTGAGAACTTACTACTGAGAGATCCCGCCACTGGAAACCTTTCGCGACAGTCACCGTAGAACACCACGGTTAGAGGGGGAGAGTTCGTCGGCTGTAAACACGTCGCTTTCTGCAACTCGCACTCGTTGGGGAATGTCATCATGTTTGATGCACACACCGGCTCGTCACCTGAGCCTTTGCAATTCGTCGGGCAAACGCACTCTCCGGCTTCGCATCTCCCTCCGTATTTGCATTCCACGTCCTGGCATAAATCTGAAATTATTTATCGCTCGATTACTGCACTGCATTTTTACAGCGCCACTTCGCCGAATCCATTGTTTCTACCATTTTTAATCAAAACTACATGATTATTCTTCGCGACCCTAACAACAGGTCCACCTCCCGCCGTTCAATTTCTCGATCGTATTGCCATCGTTTCTAGGTTCGCCGGAACGTCTAGAAAAACTAATCCATCGGACCGCGTGTCGTCTCCGTTTGGCGTTCCGTGCAGTCAGTCAGTCAGTCGCTCCGGTTAGTTCCAGATGACGTGGATTTGCGAAATGGCGAATTAATTAGAACTGTGAGGGTGGTTAAACTTACCGCAGTTTCCTTTATACGCGACCAAAATGTACTGCTTCGTTTTACAGGAGGTCATGCGGAGTTCGCATTCGTTTGCGTAAGTCACTCCATCTGTGCCGCAAACGGTTCCATCGTTGAGCTTTGGGAACAAATGTGTTTAACTATCATCTATACACTAGCCGGTAATATCTGAACAAGCACGGAATATAAATACAGGATTTCAATAAATCGGAACGTGTTCAAAATGTATATGGGTTCATTTAAATAAAACTCTTTTTCATTACTGGAATTTTGCGAAAGCTGACCGTCGTCAAGCTTGCGAACGCGAATTTAAGCAATCGTCGAAGGAAATTTATAGTCCGCGATTTTGACTTATAATACCTATGTCATTCGTTTGTTTATTATTATTTTTTTTTACCTTTGGATCCGTACATGACTTGGGGCAAACGCAGCGTCCTTCCGTCGCGGTGTCACGTTCGCAGACTGAGTAGAAGTCGCATTTTTTGTTTTCGCAACCGTCTGCAACAAAACGGTAAATACGGATGCACTTGCGGTAAGAGCTCATGAAAGAAATTTATTTTCGTATAAAAATTGTTTTAATGCTAGACGTCGTAAGACGACGACCATCGACGATTTTCATAAAAGCGTCTCGGTGTCGCTCGGAATAAAGTCGAGCTGAATGTATAAAATAGTTTTTATCGGCGTGCATTGTAAACCGTACATAAAAGGAGGATATTCTTGTGTAAATCGCGTGCGAAATTTGGCATACGAGCTTTCCGTATTTGTACATTTCAGTTCGACAAAATGCTTAAAAATAAAGCTAGATGCCGGGATATCCAACGAGCCAGGGATGTAGATATTTCCTGAAAACATAAAACTTTGCCTTGGGGCACTTATATAATATACTGTGTCTGTTTATTTTGAAGACTAATATAAGACGTTACCCAATATAGCAGTAAAGATATGAAACTTTAAACTTACTACAAGGACCGTCGTAAAGGACTGTAATATCGCGCGGATGCTTACAAGCCTCCAGTCTTAGCTTACATTCGTTGCCATACGATATGCCGTCGGAACCGCAGACAGGTTCAAATTCGGCAGGACACACAGGACATTCGCAGTGCGCTATGCCGAACCGTTCGACGCATGTTGCTCCATTTTGGCATACGTGCTCGCTGCATGGTCCTTTCTCTCCGCAGACCCCAGCGTACGATATTTCAATGGTAGTCCTCGTCAGACAGCCCGTTCTTTTCAGTTCGCAATCTGATGGAAATGTTCGGCCGTCTTTCGAACAAACGGGCCTCATGATGGGCTCGCACGTGGGTGGGCACTGACAATGTGCTATGCCAAATTTATTTATGGCGCATTCTTCGCCCAAAGTACATCGCACGCTCATGCACGGATTTATACCTGCAATAAACCAACTATCGATATTGAGAATATTAAATTCGTCGCTAGCTGAAGCCATCCGTCAACCGTTTATTATCGACATCGTCATTCCCATCTGATGACGTTTTATACAAAACTTTCATACCGGATACTTTGGATAATCTAAACAAAACTCCGGCGCCGCTCCGGCGGCTCCGTTCGGAACGAACAATAATTTTATTTCGAGATGTACCAGTTGAGAACTTCCGTAAAGCGTACTGGATGATCATGCCGGAAACGCACCGCTTTAAAAGATATATTCGACCGATTTTTCTCTCCTTTGTTGTTAATTTACGTTAGAGTATCGATCTAAGTTAAGAATTTTGTTCAAGAATCATTAAAACGGTGCGTGTCGGCGCGAGTTGGCGCAGTCGGACGGATAAAAAACGAATGCGAAGAGTGCGAATACGAACCTGAGCTGCATTTTCCGCGGTATATGATATTCAGGTTTTTCCTTGCCCTGCAGGCTTCCTGTCGTAGCGTGCATTCGTTCGAGTAGGTTTTTCCGTCCGATCCGCAAACGGGAGTGAATTCGAGAGGGCAACTGTCCCCGCATCTACAGACGGGGTTGCGATGCTCGTCCAACTGACATACTTCGGGTTCTGCACATTCCACTCCGGCACAAGGATCTAAAGCAATTTAAAATAATGAATTAAGTGGCCGGCGAGGGTCAATTAGGCACGTTTAGCTCGAATATTTACCGACTTGGTGCAGTATTTACCGGACAATTTCCTGAGAGGCCAATTAATTCCATTTCCGATCTGTAGTTTTTTTTTCGAATTTAATTATGTAATTGTGCAAGACGGCGTAAACCGTTTTGTCTTAAAGCGGTTCCCGGTTGCTCACTGATGCGAGTCTTAGCCTCGGAAAAGTTAAAATGAAAAAGTTGAAAAAATCTCCAGCTATCTCGACTTGTATAAAAAAGTTTCGACTCAACTTATATACTTTAAAGCATTTAAAATATCATTTTGTGTACTATGTTTAGCGTGCCAGATTTCTTGCAAAGTGAATATATTCCAGAGCCGTTCGTTATTAAAAATTGGATCAATCGGGAAAGTTGTCCTATTAAAAGTGGAACGAACGAGAAAGTTCGTGCGTTGCTTTGACACTTACCGCACTTCCCGAGAAACTTGACTGTGATGTTTGCGTTCGAAGTGCAGGCGGCTTTTTGGAGTTCGCATTGGTTTTTGTAATCCACGCCGTCGCTTCCACAGACGGGGCGAGAGGTGGTGTGATCTCCGTAGCTGGGGCATTTATCCGGACAGACGCAGCTGGCATTGCGGCCATCGGGGGAGACCACACATCGTGCCCCAAAACCGCATTGCTTGTCTCTACAAGGATCGTTTTGCTCTGAAAGGGGGAAAGGAAAAAAACTATCTCAATATCAATCGAATTTAGATTAAATGCATTTGTTCGAAACCATATTCAAATACAAGATAGGTATATATGGCGCCTTGCGGAACCTCACTCATGCGCACTAGCTAAAGAGGAAGTTTCAAACTTTCCACTTACCCTTAGGGAACACGTAGCAACATAACGATATGTCAGTGCGACTATTTATTAGCATCAACAGCAATAAGTAATTTGTTTTTACCTTTGCAGCGGTCATTGATATTGCTATGGAAGAATTTATCACAGGATTTTCCTGAGCGTGTATAATTTTATGCTAGTTAGTAATTTGGCTATATCTCATCAGAGGAGTGAGTTTAATTAGAAGCTGATTAATCTACGGTTTAATAATAAAAACATTATAAAAATGACTCCCTCGGGTGGCCGTTTCTTCGCGTAAGAAATTTCGCTTCCGGTCCTGAAAAGTTCGTGGACTAGTGTCTGAACATGAATCAACTTTTAGTTTTCGAAGAGTTTCGGGTTACTCTGGTGGTGGTTCCAGGCAACGCTTTCCTGTATGGAATGTAAACAGTGCGATAGGTGTATGTGTTTGATTTAATTCGAGTAGCGTGTAAAGGCCAGATCCAGACACATTCCAGGACACGATACTAGACGAACTAGTACGATCGATGACGACGTAATGCGAACGCGCGAACAGCACAGGGGTCAAAACGTCACTGAGGTAAGTATCCTGTGCTTGGGCTTTGAAACAGACTAACTTGCACTGCAGGTAGCGGCGACTGCACACAGCAGAGCAGGCGCCATATTGATTTTAAGTTTGGCGAAGCACCACAAGAGATTACAATGTCGCGTAGGTGGCCGGCGACGTTTTGTTTTCTTCTGATAAATTACTATAATCTACTACAAATTTTACCTGCTGCGGCTATCTGTCTTACTTTTAGACGTAAATAGGCTTTTTATAGTAGCTTGCCACCAGTTTAGTGCAATATTTCAAAAATGCTGTTAACGCTCACTTGAAAACTTGCTCTTTTGATAGATGGCAGCCACCAGAAGGTTTGCGACCCAACTTTCCCTTCGACAAAGCAAAAACATTAAAACTTTTTCCAGACTTACACTAATAACGAACTTATGGGACCGGCGCCCCAAAATTAATAACTCCAAATTATTAAGCCCTCGCCCTAACACAACACGGTCCTTTCTAAGGCCTTGGCGTTTTCGTCCTTCCTAAGCGGCTAATTACAATACCGATACTCTTTCGAAAACCTTTTCCCCGTCGCCGTCTCCGCCACTGAGATATTTGTGTTCCGCTCGATATCCGATTTAACTCACGGAAAAAATTTACGCTATATATTTACAGTCCGAAGTCGGCATCGTGTTACAAGTGGTACTCTAGCGTGAACTTTCAAAAGGACCGAAATTCTAAACAAATTCTTGTATGAAGAACCGACTAATGCCACGTTTTGTCGGAGTGCCACAATCCAATTGTCGAAACTTAAGCAACAGAGTCTCGGCGTAAATCAATTAAAGAGAAGATTTCGTAAACGCAGTTCGTTCTTTGGACGTTCTACTGTATTCGTTTGAAGCGCGATATTGGGGTTACCTGCTTGTAATAAAACTTCGGCAAATGTTGTGTGTTACGCAAAGCCGAATAGAATTCCATAAATTTAAATAATAAAAAAAGCTAAAAAAAATATGTGCGTTATCTAAAAGCGACGTGTTTATTCGTATCGATTTGAATAAATGAGTTAGTAAATATTCAAGCTCTCTTCATCCTGCACTTCGTAATTACCATCTTCTCTTAACTTTTTAATCTAAAATTAAGATGAGCAGCTAAATGAACATTTTCAAGACTGACATAATATGCAAGTCGAGCAGCTAATTAACGTAATATTGTCTTATGCGGTCTTCGTTATACTAATAACATCCTACAATTACAATTATTATAATAACGACAATTATACATAGACCAAATTAGATTAGTTTCGCGTAAGATGAAAGGGTAAATTAAATTCGAATGCGGATCGAGATGCGTCGCTGGTGCAAATCTCGCACTGTGAAAAACCGCCACGTCACTTTAAAAAAATCGAGATACAACTCGATTAAATCATAGTTAAATGATCAAAAAATGTAACTGGGAACGTAGCAGCTGAGGTTTTTAATGAACCCTATAAAGAACCAAAAATATACCGGAATGGCAGGTGGTTGTTATCGTTTCCATATTAAACTAAAGGAAAATCTATTATTTGTACAAAGATCTGCGTCAGAGCGGCGAAATTAAAGATTGCGGAACATTTGCTTTCTAAGAAATCAAAGGACGCGGAATTTAATTTCCGTTTCAACTTCAGAAACACATAATTGATAAAATTACACAACTTGTGTAAATTAAGAAGCGGACGTGTGATCAGCGAAGGAATATCGACCTATCACTCGGCAAACAAGAGATGATTTCACATATTCGATATGTTAGCGATTTTACGGTGCATACGTTATCGTCCAAAATTAATTACTGTATCAACCAACAATTAATATTCAAAACTACCTGTTGACTTTGTTACCGACGACGTGGTTAGTTATTTACCCTCGTAGTTTCGAGCTAAGCGATGCAATTTCGCATAAACTATAGCTTAGTAGAACTTTGTTTCGTCGTTAGAGTTTGTACTATCCAATTTTGGTTATTAAGTACTAGAGTATCAAATTGGGACCTTTATCTGAACACGTGGTGTCGTCACCAATAAGTACAGTGTTGAAGTTAAAGTGGCTCGTTATAGGTTTTTACTTCTCGAGCGTAAGCTTGTCCCTGTTTCCCGCGTCCGTCTATCTGTCGTCTGTCGTCTGTGAACTACCGGATGGACTATTGTCAAAATTTATATGTATTTTAGGAGTATCTTGTAGATGGTAGAACTCTAACCAAAATAACCAAAATTTGTTGAATCATCCCGACCAACAATGCGATGATGTCATCTTCAAAATTTACAGTGCCCTTGTGGTCTATGAATCCGTGTTGACAGTCAAATTTTTTGGAAAAATATTAAAATTGTATAACAACATTTTTCAATTTTACATTGAAGCTGTAAATGCACTTGATTAGTCGACTAGGCACATTTTGGCCACAAGAAAAGTGTAGGTTATTATTTTTTGTTTGTACTCGGTTCTCAGCAGGAGTTTTTGAAATGCGCAATGCTGTGTAATGAACGAGTGGGTTTCAAAGCGTGTATTTCAGCTAAACGTTGAAATCAATTTTGTTTTCGCGTTTTGGATATTAAGTTTTGGCTGAAACGGCAATTATTTTTTAATCTGCCGCTGCGTAATCTCTTCAAGTATAAATTTGTTTTTTAATAAACGTAAGCATATTTCTGAGATGTTTGAACGGGTTACTTATGTAAAATTTGCTAAGATATTAAAAAAGCTTGGAGTAAAAACCATTAATTTATTTGATGGATTTTCGGCGTCTGAGCAACCGTGTGTCAACGAAATGTTTAATTTCTAGGGGAAAATATTTAATATTCGGCGAATGTAGCTCGAATATTTTTCTCGGCTGTTATTTACTTTTTTACAATAATCGGTGGGTTAAAATTAATCGTGATCAATATGTGGCCATAAATCTTGGAGTTTTTAATAAAGGGTGAAGGTTTGATAGAGCGTTTGTATATAGGGAAATGTAAGAAGAGATAATTCCCTTCTAGGTCCTTTATAACGAGATAATATTTTTACGAGGTCGCACGCTGGGCAGTAACTATCCATTTAAGGACCTGCGAGTCGAGAAATAGTGCCTGTTTAGTCTCGAGGGAAATGAAAGCCTCACATATTTGGCATTATCTCTAGAAAATATGTTCAAAACTCATGGGATGGTCATCGTCACACTTTTTCATCGTATAATAAGATTACGTCCTTTGAATTTACGCTAATGAGTTTAAGATGTTATGACTTGTAAGAGGATTAATTAAAGTATTTTATATCTCCATTAAAGTTGGGCACGTTATGAGATTTATAATCACAATGAACGTTCATCGAACAAACTTTTCGTGATATATAAAGTCTGATAAAACTTGACAAATAATCGTCGAGTTTCGCGACATTGTCGAATTAATTTTTTAAACACGGAGCGGAAGCTAAATTAACTGAAAAATTTGCGGAATTCGAGGCATCCCCGCGACCACACCTAACGCATTATTTAAAAGCCCACATATTTTTTGCGAACGACAATCGATAAATTTAAACGTTACACGTTCCGAATAGTGGCTGCCTACGACGAAACCGGTCGATAGTTTTCGAAAGCGACAAGATCTTTCAGGGTGGGGCCTCGTGCGAGGCGATAATTTTTTGAAAATGTCATATTGCCTAAACCTGGGTTTAAGCTTTGATACCTCTAATCCCGGTTGTTAAACGGTTTCCGCTTTTATTTGGGTAATTTTGTCGGAGAATATCAATAATTCACCCTCTTCTCTCAGGGTTTACATGGGTTTCTATATTTTAGCATAAAACAGAGTCGGAGTGAAATTTTTGTCGAGATTTAAATAAATTAATCAACGGCGGTCGAACTGCAATGATCGCTTTGTCGGAATTGATTGGGAGCGATATTGTTAATTTACAACTTTTAGGTTAAGTGTGTTATTCAAAACCTGTGCTGACATTCAGCTGGAACGCTGCCAAATAAATGTATCTGGTTTGACAAATGCGAAAGAAAACTTTTTTCATTTCATATCGTTTAAAATACTGTCGGCGGAAGAATTTGATTAAAGTATAAAGTGAAATTTGCCGGAAAAATATTTGTTGAACAAACTCAACCACTTCGGTTGTTAGTGTAAGAGCTTTGTATATAAAGACATATTACTCTAATTACATCAACAATTTATTCGAGTTAAATACCCAACGAAGATTGCGCCGCGTTTATAATTTACCTACATATCTAACTTGTTTCGGCGATAATTTGTACCGACAACGCTAACAAACTTGCAACAATACATAACAAAGTTTGACAATCACCAGGTGATAAAACGTTTTGTTCATTAAAACGACACGACCAGTTTTAACATTCGTGGAAAAAATCGACAACTTCGCTGTTATTTATAACCGGCGATTTAATATTCGGAGCAATTATTTACTCTTCATTCGACCAGATTAAACCCGAAATGTGGGCTTCTGTTTCGTCAAACTCACACGGGTCTCAGAATTAATGTGCCCACATGAATAAATCTCTGATTTCGCTATACAAACTGATTTGAGGCGACGCAGAGCGTTCTCCTACCTTTCGCAACTCGAGACGACACAAACACAAAAAGGATAAGACAACCACTAAGGGACACTGAGGAATTTTGCAAACGACGTTTAGGCCATCCCACGCCAAAACTGACACAAAAAATGTTCACATTTTCTAATTTACTTGATTCTATTCGACGCATTGCGTAAGTTCACTAACAACTTTTTTAGTCTTGTAGCTTCGTCGCAGTGAGGAAGTTCTCAAAAAAGCGGTCTTATGGAAGCTGCTCTTTTGAGGTATTTCGTTATGAGAACCACTTTTTGAAATCTGTCGTAAGACACTTCCTCTTTTGAAAACACTCCTTGTTCTTACCGTTATCTCCAACAGATTGGCAGTTTTGTGTAAATTGCTTTTTGACAGCACTGTATTTAGTTTGTAGGCTTTCGGTTACTATTCGGTTGCTGATTGCCGTTAATTAGTGGAAGTTGTAATTATCGACATAAGATCAATGACGACTTGGCGTCTATTCAACAGAGCAAAGGTGGGTGTTCGCCTTCTGACGACGTGATCTGTCTCGTTGAGACTTTTTGAACGATATATAAACTGCGTCCTAGAGAAAAATGAGAATTTGTATTAGTAGGAAAATCAAAAAAGGGACACAACTATGGTTAATTACAGCAATGACGAAACACGTTCACCAGTCATCCACTAATCTCTTTTTTCGCGAGATTGGCCGCCGCCGTTTAAGTTGGAAGTAATTTGCGGGGAGAAGCAGCAAAACCATCTCGGTGCATAAGCAATTAATGTATACCCTAGTAGAGAAATATTTTTAATGGATTCGGTCAAGCTGTTACATGCAAAATAAGCAAAACATGCTTTTACATGTCAAAATTGCTTACCACATTCCCCATCATGTTTAACCCTGGTGTTAAGTCGAGCCTTGCAAGATGCCACACGGAGTTGACAGCGATTAGCGTAAGTCTTTCCATCAGTTCCGCAGACTAGGTCGACCTTCTGCTTGCAACGTGTTGGACACTGGCAGAGGGCGCGACCATCGGGACCGGCGATACAGTCAGCTCCCCAAGCGCAAAAAGTTTTCTCGCAGGGTTCTAAAATGTTAGTAACATGCAAATGTTAATGTTAATTGTAGCGTTAGGGATCGATCTGATTTCGTGAACTATTATGGTCGTTAAGGGAATGATAAAAATACACTTGCGTGAGATTCGATGAGAATGCACACAATATCCATCATCCATTAATGGGATTTCATTTAAAATTATTATTTTTATCGAGGCCATTTTCACCGCAAACTATTTGTTTGCCGGTTGTATGTTTATTTAATTGCTTTTTTATCGCTGAGACAATGTTGTTTGAGCAACACTGCCAATTATTTAACAATTTATCAATACAACTGAAGCCATTTCGCATGCATATCGTACCGTTTGTACCCCACAAGCTGATTAAAATTTCTCTTTGCCACCGAAAGAATATCACACAATTATGACACCCTAATTGCTAATTAATTATGAAAATAAGTAAATTACTTACTAAAACAGCATATTCAATTATTACACGCAAAATTTGAATAAGTGGAGGAAAACCATAAATTAGCTCGTAAAGAACGGGGCGAAAATAAAAACCGAAAGTTGGTATTTTTAGAAAGAAATGGCGGATGCGCCGGTTTAGATGTTCCTTAGTTTTAAATTAAAGTTAATGCATAATTATCGCAATCATTGTAATGGTCTTGTTATTTAGTTAATGTTAGTTAAAGGGCATTTCGTTTTAATTAAAAAGTAGTGGATGCGAAAACAGGATGATAAAATTGCTGACGAAATGAAAATTCGTCGAAATTCAAATTGACCGAGGAAAAAGTTTTCTTATCAAAAATAATAATATATTATTATTTGTTAAAAATTTTAATTTTGATGCGAATTAACCGAGCTACCGTTTCAAACATGCATCCAAGTGTCGCGAGCTGCGTTAGTTGCAACCTTTATTTTGACTTGCATAAAATTAAAATCCGAACGACTTTGAGGAACATGGACACAAAATAGTTAAAACTGTAGTGAAAAGTGAATGATGGATGCGCCAGGATAAAAGCAAAATGCGAACTAACTTTACGACTAGTTAACAATTAACTTCCAGTTGTAAACAGTTTGAAAAGCCTTCAATCATCGTGCATGTTTTTGCAGGATCTGCTGGTACAACGAAATTGACAGTAAATTTAAAAATTTCACCTATAAAAAAATAGTGTTATAATTGAGCTTATAAAATTTGTACATTCCAATTACGGAAGGTGAAGTGAATTATGCATGGAGTACACATATTTAAAATTGATGTTCTAATCAATTAAAAGTACGCATCGATGTTACTCTAATTGTGACCCCAATTGAGCCTTTAATAATAATAGCACTTTGAGGCAAAGGTATCGGAGCGAATAATTTATTGGTGTCTATAAAATTGGGTATTCTGGGCAGCTATTAAATCTAGGCGTTACGCAGTAAATAATCTATGTGCTTCGTAACATTGTTAAGAAGTTTCGTCTCTAAAAAATAACTGCGGCTTCTCGTGGAAACTCGGCGAATGAGACTTTCTTCTACTTAAACGTAAGTCAGTTTGTTAAAAATTCACTCGGTAATGATCCTCTAGAGAAGTTAGTTTGTTCTGACCACACTAATTTTCCTGTGAACCCTCTCTATTTTATTCAAAGTGCTCGTAAATCCGTATAAACTATACAACAGCGTTAGTGTGAGGCATTAACACATTTACCACCCTCGGTTACAATTTCCTCCATTAGAAAAGAAAAAAACAAAAACGCTTTGAATGACGCCAGGTATAAACGTCACTTAACAAGCATCAACATTCTAGACATATCAACGCAGGTGAGTGGTATGTAGAGCTTGCGGAATTTCGAGATATGTCAAATTACAAGACTGTATCCAGATATCTCCCTCTGGTGCTATGTGTCTTCATTCAAGATCCAATACGATTTTTGTCGGAATATTACTTTTAAAAATTCAGCGCGACGTGGTACACTTCATATTTTGGTATAGGACATGCATAATAAAAAAAGAAAATACATCAACTTTATCTCGTTCCTATAGCGACAAGTTCAGGAGAAAGACGTATCACCACAAGAGAATATGGAATGTTTCGCGCATCTGTGAGGGCCCGCTGTCACCAAATACCAATTAGCACCATTCGCATCTGTCTTGATAAAACACTTAAAGCGTTATTTTCCGCATTTTCGTATATTGCGGAACGACGGTAGGGTCAGGTGTTAAGTCGTGCCAAATTAGAAAACGCATTCGCTATCGTTCGTAATTAATTCTTGCAACAGTTATATCTTAATAAACTAATAAACGAAATCTATACGAAAAGACTACGGGTTTTTGCAACCGCACAACATTCTACTATTCCGACTTATTGTGATAGTTTTTTTTTGTAGTTGTGAGTCTTGAACCTATCGGGGCTGGCGCCCGTTTTTAACAAAAAGTAAACTTATGCCGCAAGGATGTTTGAAGTGTCGAGTCGTCGTCTCTGGAGGTGGGCCGAAACGGCGAGTTTTATTGTAGTTTCGGAATTGTATAATTTTCGCATGTGTCAAACGGGGAATAAAAGCTCTTTTGATGGAGTGGATGTTTTTAATGATTGCTTTTTCGGTAATTGATCGAGTCTAGTGATTGATTTGTGGCGAGTTTGCTGATGGTCTAAAACAAAAATGTTTGGACAGATTTGATCCGAATTGAGAGCGGCGGGGAAGCAATCGGGCGTTGAAGTTTATTAGTGACCAATGTGTCGTCGGTAAAGTGGGTGCAGGTCGGATTACAATATTTAATTAGGGCAGCGAACGAAAAGTTGGCTGTAACCGTATTAATTAAGTTGTTCAAACAATATTAAAGACTACGAAGAGATAATTAATCCCATTAATAAATAGGAAGGATAAGACTATCGGCTTTAAGTTGATGTTATTGGATTAGAGAACTTTGTTTTAGTTTAATAAATTTGGGCAATCACGGTTTAGAGGAATTCGGTGTTGTTATTGGTGAGAATCGTGTGGATTGGAGTTTCATTTCTTCGGAAAGAAGTAGCGCATAATTTTATCGTTGCTTGGGCCGGAGACAGGCAAGCGTAGTCGTGACCAGCATTAATATTAAGTCTCTTGCATAAAAATAAAAACAGTATCAAAAAAGGAAATTGATATAAGATATCGGCGAAATTTAATAAACCATTGCCGACGGGATTTAATTTTTTCGCTTTGCTCGCGCGATGCTCGTTTTGGGAAATGCGTATTCCAAGAAAGCGTACGCGTTCCCGTTTTGGTGGGAGGTCGTGTGTGATTAATTAAACGCACGTCTGACTATATATCAAAGCTTCTGTATACTAAAATACCGCATGTTTCCCTTAAGAGACATTTCGTGACGGTAACACTTGAAGTAATTCCCAATAGTTCGGTTGCAAACACCTACCCATTTGAACGTTAATTCGATCGGAATACGATGCTAGATTTACCCTCCGACTGAATCGATATTTAGCAGTCGTCAAAACGGCAACAAAAAAGAAATTATAATATCGTTTATCATCGCAATTTATTCGTTACGTCCTGGACGAGAAGACTCGCCAAAACTGACAACAACCCTCATGACGGTTGTGTATGCGACGATGAATACGAATATGAAATATAGATCTAGCGACCCAGATAAATGTACCAGCTGTGAACTTATACCCTTAAAATTTATCAATTGAAAACTACCCCGGTAAAATAGATATACGATTCCGATAAATCTTAACTCCCATTTTCAAAATTACTATCCCTCGAATCTGAATATGACTAAAAATGATGCGTGGACTCACCTCCGGAGCGATCGCGAGAACTCCCCGTCCATTACAAAATTGGATTTGCGTTACCGCTAACGCCAATTTTTAATACCCTTTTGACGTAATTACAAATTTCAATAGATTCGCTTTGATTCTGGTCGTAATCGGATCAGGAGAATCCCTCCCGGAGCATTTTTTCATCTAGTTGATCAGAGTAACCCACATCACATACCTCATTACCTTTATAAAGATAAGTGAAAGAGAACGAGAAAACGCAAAGCTATTCTTGATCCAGTTGGCTGCTCAGTATCACCAGTCCAATTACTGACAAACCAATTAGATTTAACTGGCCGTACCTGTAAGTCACTAAGCTTCGCAATCAGGCCGGTATTTGCTGTTATTTGAAGAGAAATTCGCCGCCGAGACACTTTCGCAATAGATAATTCTTGTTTCTATTTTTGGAATAGCGATCCGTCGCCTGAAACGACTCGCAATATATTAAAAAAAAAAAAAACTCTGGCTTTGATCCCTATGATGTTTCCACTTCGCTTGAAGGAAATTGCAACGCACTTTTCACCGATGATGTTTTTCGAGCTTAATTAGTGATGCCGTAAATAATTAAATGATTACAAAGCCAAGAATTAAAGGCTGCCCAAAGCTCCTTAAATTATTCAAATTTCCACAGAGGTGGCGGTAATCGCTAACGTTATAATTTGTTTACGCAAAAAGCTTCGATGTTCGCCGTTTGAGCTGCAAATTTCACATACAAAACGCCCTAAACTTAACGCTAAAAGTCAGAAAAACTGTACGCTTGAATTCACTCGAGACGACAGTTTTTTAATTATTAAATTAACCAATAAACTACGCCGGTAAACGTAACGAAATCATTCGGGTGTGGCACTTGTTCGAGAACCAGAACAAGTCGTAAGTGAAGAAAAACTACATTTTGGTAAATACAACAGATCAGGGAGCAAAATTTAACCAATCTTTTGAATGTCGTGGTTGTCTTTAAGGTCGTGGGTTAGGTTGTGTTTCTGCGTCTCCTGGTTTTCGAAGCTCACAAATGAAGTACCGCTTTTGTGGAGATCGTGCCGACGTTAGGAGTCGTGTTACCCCGAGCGGTATTATCTGTTTCGTGTGCGTATGGCGACGATTAGGAGAACAACAAAGGGAACAAAGTGCGCCGCTGTTTAATTCGATCATCTTGCAACTTTTCCCCCGTACGAAAACAATGTGACAAAGTGATAACTTTTAAATTGAAAAGGGCTTTTGTTTAGTGGTGGCACGTATG